AACCCTAACCCTAACCCCTAACCCCTAAAACCTAACCCCTAACCCCCAACCCCTAACCCCTAACCCCTAAACCCTAAACCCTAAACCGCTAGAAAGGGCCTAGCAAGGGTGGAACGGCAAAAACTTGGGTCTCCCACCTCGGGGTCTCAGGCTGCGGCTCAGGAATTGGACGGTAAGAGCTCAGGGTCCGGAGGCCCCTACTCTGTAATGGGCTATATAATGGGACCCCTACCCATAGGGAAGAGGGTTCCTTTAGAGGGGTCTATAAGGACTACTATAAGGGGCTATATTGAGGGTTTAGGGTTTAGGGTTTAGGATATAATGGGCTATATAATGGGTATATAATAGCTATATTAAGGGTATATACCTAGGGGTTCTTATTAAGGGTCCCAATGACGAGTCTTAAATCAAGCTCTTAAGGTCTAGTCTAAAGTTTAACGGAGTGTAGGGTTTTGGACCTTGAACACAAATGAAGCGCCAGAAGCCTTCAACAGTCCGGAAACTGGTTTAGCGCATGAAGTTGCCACTGCTGAGTAAAACCCTATGGAGCAACTGAGCTCATTTGCGCCCTAATCTTCAAACATAAACCCAACTTCACGTAAGTGCCCTAAACCCCTAAACCCTTAAACCCTAGACCCGAAGTGCATCCACATGGGTCCTGGCGGAATACGCCGGAGCCGTACGCTAAGGAGCATTCCAGCGGCGGGAAGTTGCTGTAGTCGATCTCGGGTGGGCTTTGGTGTTGTAAACCTACTTGGAAGGGCAGGGGACTTAGTAAGTAGGTTATAAGTAGGGTTATAATTGGGGTAACTCCATTTAGGGTACTTATAACTCTACTTATAACCTACTTACTAAGTCCCCTGCCCCTCCAAGTACACAGACCTACCAACCCTATTTCGTGTAGGGTCTGTATAGATTCCGTAGTAGGGCTTACAAATAGAACCTACAAAAACCCTGAGGTTTGGTAGGTTAAGGTACAAAGTAGAAGCTGCAGGCATTCAAGCATATCTCACAAGTTGTATGGAGCAATATGGATTCAGGATTAAATTGACACGTAGTCCCGGACGATCCCCTGTTGACGAAATCCTTATTCGAGCAGAAACCGATTAGTGTTCAAAGTCTGGCCCGTGGTTTAGGGTTTAGAAATTCCTAGGGCCTTGATCACAGATCAGAGCAGCCGACATTTGGGTGCCTCTAGAGACCAGGGTCTTTTGGGCCACCCAGAGAGTTTGACGCTTACGGTATTAAAGGTACCCTTTTCTCTGAAACCTTACATCTAAGGACCCGAAACCCTAAAGCCGAAACAGGACCCCTAAGCTAGAGCAAACCCTTAAAATTTCCTGTTGAGCCCTAAACCCTAAACCCTGAACCCTAAACCCTTCAAACTTTGCAGCGTTAGCTGCATTGAGATCCCAGGCTGCAGACTCCGTCGTCATCTTTGGAATGCTCAGGAGTTTAGGGTACCCAGAGCCTCCAAAACCCCTTAATTAAGGAATATACCTTAAATTATAGTAGGATCCCTAATATGATTTTCTTAATTAAGGAATATACCTTAAAATCATATTAGGGATCCTCCTATAATTTAAGGTATATTCCTTAATTAAGGGGTTTTGGAGTCTCTGGGTAGGAGCCCTTCCGGGTTTGTGGTTCGGGGCTTTAGGGTTTAGGGGCTCTGATGGGTTTGGGGGTTTAGGGGTTTAGGGTTTAGTGGTTTAGGGGTTTAGGGTTTAGGGTTTAGGGGTTTAGGGGTTTAGGGTTTAGGGTTTAGGGTTTAGGGGTTTAGGGTTTAGGGTTTAGGCTCTTATGGGTTTGGGGGTTTGGGGATTGAGGGGTTAGGGCCTTATGTAGGTCTTGGGGTGTCAGGATTCAGGATTCTTGGGGTGTGGGAATTCAGGGGACAAAGATTTGCAGGCACTGATTTCGCTTAGTACTCTTGGGTTCCTCTGGAGGGTTGGAGGGTGCAGGGATCTGAAAGCTAGGCTGCACGATTTAGGGTTCAGGGTTTAGGGTTTAGGGTTTAGGGTTTAGGGGTTTAGGGTTTAGGGGCAAAGGATTTGGTGCCCAGGGTTCCTGCGCATGTCACAACTGAAGCTCCAGCTCGAATGACTACAAAAGCCGCAATGGCTACATGTGCTCTGCACGTGGCGGGGACGCGGGCATGTTCCTGGACTTGTGGAATGATGCTGAGATGAATAGGGTACCTCCATACTTCTGCGGGAGAGTAGGGTTGATGCTGCCAAAGGAGTAGCAGTAGCATCTTCCTGCTGAGACACGCCCAGCCTTACCATCTTGAAACTGCCACCCTCCGGAGACGCATTCCGTGACGACAAAGGTTGAGAATGTTGGGTGTAGCTTGTGGTTGTGGTCCCGAATCTCTGCATGAGCTGCAGCCACCCGACAGGGATCAACCCGTTCACCCGAAAAACGATAGCCCCTGGGCCACACCCGGACAGAACCCGTAGAGTTGTCTCCTCTACCATTCGCGCTCCGCCGAGCATACGAAGAAGGGTTTAGGGGTTTCGGGTTTGGGCTTGGAAACCCCACCTGGCATTGAATGGAAGGATTGCAAGAAGTGTGACATGTGACCGCACGTACTCAGCCGATAGAACGAATACCCTATTGCAACCCTACCTGTGACGGCCGACGAACCTCGCAGCAAGAATCCTAGGCCTGGAACCTACGATGTCCGGAATATTTGGAACAGGGTTGTAAGCTATAGCATCCTTTATAAAGGGGTTTAGGGTATAGCGGGTTAGGGTTTAGGGTTTGAGGTTTGGGGGCCTGTACAGTATGCAGCACCGATCCACGCCAGCCCTTACTGGGAGCTGGGGGAGGTCCGAGCTCGTCTTGATTCCCAAGGCTTAGGGTTTCAGGGTTTAGGGTTTAGGGTGTTGATTTCAGTCCTGCAGAAATCGTAGCCATTCGACACCACCATGCAGGGATCCCCTGAACTCTAAGCCCTAAAGCCCTAAAGCTTGAAGGCTTTAAAGTTGACACTTAGGAACTATGTAGGCTCGAAGGTAACTTGGGTCCCACGCACTGCGACTGCAAATGCCGCTTGAGATTCTGGCTAAGAAGTGGAGGGGGGCTTCAGAAAAGGTTCAGAAAACACCCAATATGAACCCTAACCCTGACGTAGAGAAACACCCACATCCAAGAGCCTAAACCCCAAAATGGGCCACTTTTCGGTCGGTTGCGGCGTATGCGGATGGCACGGAAGCGCAAATCGCTTCGGAGAGACCGAGCAGCAGCGGGTTCAAAGGTCTGGCGGTAGTAGTAGTAGTAGTAGTAGTAGTAGTAGTAGTAGTAGTAGTAGTAGCAGTAGTAGCAGTAGTAGCAGTAGTAGCAGTAGTAGCAGTAGTAGCAGTAGTAGCAGTAGTAGTAGTAGTAGTAGTAGTAGTAGCAGTAGTAGTAGTAGTAGCAGTAGTAGTAGTAGTAGTAGCAGTAGTAGTAGTAGTAGTAGCAGCAATATGGTAGTGGTAATGGTAATAGTGGTTGTGGTAGTCGTGGTCGTAGTGGTAGTGGTGGCGGTACGGGTAGTGGTAAGGGTAACGGTAGTGGTAGGAAGCAGGGTCAGTCTAGGCAGTAGGCATTATAGGTATTAGGTAGGTAGTAGGTGGTAGGAGGTCGGAAGTGGTAGAAATAGTCGAAGCAGTAGTAGCATAATGGCAGCAGTAAAAGTACTAGCCGTAGTAGCAGTGCTTGCAGCAGCAGTAGTAGCAGTAGTAGGAGTAGCAGTAGGAGCAGCAGTAGCAGAAGCAGAAGTAAGAGCTGTAGCAGTCGAAGCAATCGATGCAGTCGAAGCAGTCCAAGATGCTAATATCTACCAACCTGCATGCAGCCCCGGTTCTCTCATGAGCTCGCTGCTGACATCTGTCACAACGAGCATTATGCAAGATAAGCGTAAGATGCATGGGATGTAGGATCCAGCAGTTCGCTAAACCTTGGCAGGGTGGTGGGCTCTTGTGGCAGGTGGCCAGCCGATCTCCTGTCGACGTTTAAACGATTTGGCTGTGACATACATGGCCAAATCGCTGAAACTGTACCTAGCAAGACGTCTAAGTTCGGCATCCATGTCCCAACGCGAATTTAAGATCGCCTCCTAGCTTAAAACCCTAAATGCACTGACTCTCGAACCTGCCAACTTGTCCCCATTTGCTCAGTCTCTGCTTCCATGAGAAACTTCTGGTACTTATGAAACATGACTATGAGGACGATAACGGTAGTGGTTTAGTTTAGGCTTTATAGTTTAGCTTGTAGGATGTGGGGTTCAGGATCAGGATTCTATAGTGCCCCCGTGTTCATTGCATCTCACTCTTTCGAAACTTCGAGGGTTGAGGTGCAAACACGGAAATGATAGGCCTTTACCGCGGATCCTGCTATTCAGGCTTTCAAGGACTACTTGTCTTGAAACTAGTCTTTTCCTTGTCTTCGTTTGAGCCCTGTCTTCGGACATGGGAAAACTGAACCCTCAACCCCAAACCTCAACACCCTGATAGAAGTATTCTCTGAAACCCTCACTCAGACTGTAAACCCTAAACTCTCAGACTGCAATCTGTCTGCCCAACGACCGAGTGTCCTAATACTCTCGGCCCCTACACCCAAGCCTCCACAGCAATTTCTTCCAGCCCTAAGCCCTGAAGTGCGGACGCAAAAACTAAAATCTAAACCCTGTGCCCCAAGACATGAACCCTAAACTCTCAGCCAAACTACTCTCAGCCTTCATAGAATTGTTGGCGGGACCCTGAACCTAAAACCGTAAATCTTGAACCTCTAAACTCATAGAACTCTTCTCGATCCCCTATAGATCGCTTAAAACGAACCCTAAACCTAAACCCCTACAACCCCTAAACCCCAAACCCTACTAAACCCTGCTGCACCCTAACCCCCTACCTGTACTGAACTTAGAACCCTAGCAAAAATTACAATTTTAGCTGTTTCTTAAGGCTTATAATAACCCTAAACCCTAAACCCTAAACCGTGGCTACAGCCGCGCTGACTCAGACTTTCTCCGTGAGCTCTGGGACCGCTTCAAAGAGGTCCGTCACGAGGCCGTAGTCGGCGACCTTCCCGGCTTCAAGAGGCTAGGCGTTTAGGGTTTAAAGGGAACTCCAGAAAGTTGGAATATGGATTAATGGTTGGATCCCCTATATTTTACCTTAAAGGGATTATGATAATGATATTCCAACTTTCTGGCTTTTACCTTAGGGTTGAGGGTTTAGGGTTTAGAGTTTAGGATTTAGGGTTCAAGATCCTTCACCCACAAACCCTAAATCCAGAAACCCCACATCCGAAACCCCAAACCCCTTAAGCCCTGACTCTTACGCCGGCAACCTTAACAGCGGCCCCGAGCCGGCGGCTTGCTGTACTCACCCAGTCCGAAGAAAGTTGAAGATAACAGAACTTGATCTCCGGATTTAAGTCCCGGAAACCAAATAGCACGGTTGGGCGTAGGGTATAGGGTTTAGGGTTTAGGGTTGAGTGGTCCGGTGCCAGGTTCAGTTCTTAGAGGAGGGTGCTTGCGTTGAGGACTGTAACTGAGAATCTATATACATCTTGGTTTTACTCTTGCGACAATCCTACTAATGCCTTAATGTCCAAATTCTGGCATATCACTACGATTACTAGGTGCCGATTTCAATAATCCCCAGAATTGGTTTTGAACAGGGGCTCTATAATAAGCAATCAGGGAAATTAAAAACATCCCAAATCGGTAATAATTAACAACTATCCCTCCCAAATCGATAAGAATTAAAAACTATCCCAAACTGATACATACCTAGTATACGACTGCTCTAAACCCTAAACCCTAAACGGCCCTAAAAGGATATGACTGTTCTTGCTGGTAGCCTGGAAGATCGGCGCGTCTGCGTCCTTGTTGATGGCCACGATGGTCTTCGAGTCCTGGGCCGTTCAATGTAGGGGCCTTAATAATTGGAATGGAGTTCCCTTAAAAGGGGTCTATAAGGGTTACTATAAGGGCGACTATAATGATTTGCTGTAGCGGCCTTGATAATTGGACTAGGGTTTTTGGGGGGTTCCTTACCAGAATAATGCACTATACCCCCCAAACCCTATTCTGATTATTAAGGCCCCCACATCAGGGTTTAGGGTTTCGGGTCTTTTTTCGATTGAGGGCTTCTGGGTTTAATAGGTCGATTCTTACGGAATTCAAAGGGGAAAGGAGGGACCCTTAATGGGGACCCCTACCCTATAATGAGCTATATAATGGGTATATAATGGCTATATCGGCTATATTATGGGTATATACCTAGGGGTCCTTATTAGGGGTCCCTCCTTTTACCCTTTGAGGACTTCGCCTTTCGTTGTGAAGTTTAGGCCTCGATTCGTGCCAGACGTCTCTCGTGCCGCAATCGCTCAACCCTTCAAACCTAAAGCATCAACCGTACGTCCTACTGTTGATGATATAAATCCTGCATTTCCTTAAAGACCCTAAACTGTGGGAATTACGGGAGATTCCTTATTATGGGTAACGCAGGATTTATATCATCAACCGTAGACCCACAAGTGTTCTTGATAACCACCTTGCAAGTTGCGAGGAGAGTTCTTGGGCAGCCCTTTTTTGAGTTTGTGGAGCTTCTGTGGGCTTCGCCGTTTCGCCTCAGCTCCCTAAACCTAAACCATAAGCCGTAAGCCCTGAACCCTAAACCTGCCTAAGCCACAAGCCGATGAAGTGCTGTGGGTTTAGGGTTTCACAAGGCTTGGATTGCCGGGGCAACGCGAAACTTGACACTTTAGGTGCACAGCACCCACCCAAAGGAAGAGCCCTTGAAACCCTTTACAGAGGATTTTTGCCGCATTTTGGGTTTAAGGAGCAATCCTCGAGGTGGTTGAAGGTACGTCTAGATGGATGGCTGTCAAAACTATGGTCCCTTTTTGGGTCCCTAATACAATACGGCACCTATTATTTAGGGTACCTCAAACGGGACCCAAATTTTGACAACCACCCCGATGGATAGGAAACGAAGTGCTCCCTGGGTCAGCGTTGGGGCCCGTGTCGCAGGGGTTCACACCATGTCTCCTTTCCTGAACCCCTACGAACCCCGTTACCCTGTTTACGCCCAAAACGCAGAATGTAGGGGCCTGAACAAAAACAGCGGGGTTTACTAAAAATATTTAAATTTTGAATATAACGTAACAGACTCAACCCTAAACCCTAAACTAAACCCTAAACCCGGAACCCTAAACCCGGCCTTCATGCCCGCCAGGTGTTGGATGGCCCCGCTAATGCCCACAGCGATATAGAGCTGCGGCGCCACCACTTTTCCCGTCTGGCCGACCTCGAAAGGGGCATGTAGGACGGTTATAGAACGTCATCCCCAGGATCCCTTTAAAGGGATCTACAAGGGTTCCTGATGGAATAGTCCTTAAGTCATACTCGGGATCCTAATATGGTTTATATAAGCAATATTCCTCAAGTAAGGGATATTGGAGTCTCTGGTTATGTCGATTATGCTGTCTCTGGACATTGAAAACTACAACCCTAAAAGCCCATAACGACTTACATCTCCGAAACTCCGAAAAAACTCGGGATGTGATCCCCAAGACGTCAAGCCCTGGACCCAAAGGTATCCCAAAACCCTGAACCGTCAATCCCTGGATTAAGGTCTGCAAAAACGCAACCTTATAACATTCAGCTGACGGCATCCATGGCAAGTTTGTGTCAAGAACTTTTTGTTGCATGCAAGTAGGTGCCGCGCCGTGTCTGCCCTCAAACCCAAACCTCAAAAACTACGACAAGGCGCTATATCGCTCCACAAAACTGGAACACCTCATTTGCGCATGCCCTTTGGAATTAGTTTAAGGATCCTGCTGCTGCGATTTGGGGGCTCTATATTGGTTCCCCTCATGTTTGAAACCCACTGACTCCTACAAACCCCTATGCAGCCTTATATCAGACTCTTCTAAGACCGTATGTAAAACCAGTGTAGTACATGCCCATAAAGCACTTTGAAACCTTGACCCTGAAAAACGCCCTGCAGAACCCTGAAAACCTTACAGAATCAACTCAGAAGCCCTACAATATCCCAAAAGAAGAGAGCACGAACCCCGTTAACAAGCTTCAAATCCACATAAATCCATACAACACCCTAATGAGGGCCCTATAAAACGCTACACCCTAGACCCTATAAAACCCTGAACCCTGCGGCTCAAAATGCCCCTTAAAAACCTTACATACTATGATCTTTGGGCCCAAAAGCCGTAATATATGAGTCCTTAGAGCCCTAGGGATACAACCCAATACACCTTAGACCGTATAAAACCCTACACAACCACCAAAACCATCCAAAACCCCCTAAACCCCTAAACCCTAAACCCCTAAACCCCCAAAACCCTGATTTTTATCGGCCTGCAGCTCGTTCGGCACGAAGCCGGCATCTACCGCTGCGCGGCTGGCGCCTAGAGCAGCCTCTGCGCCAGTCTCTCTGGGTTCCTTTAGGGCCAAATGTTTGGGGTATAGGAGAATCTGCGCCAGTCTTTCTGGGTTGGTTTTTTTGTTGAGCTCCTTTTTGCACCTGCTCAAAAAGGAGCTTCGGAGATGTTTTAGGGTTTAGGGTTTAGGGTTTAGGATAAAGGCTCCTTGAGGTTCCTTCAAAGACTCCGTTAAACGGGTTGCTGGGGGTTTAACGCTTAGGGCTACAAGGATTACTGTAAGGGTTTCTGTACGGGTTCTATTAGCGTTTAGGGTTAGAGATCTGAGGCTACCACGTGGTCATTGGCTCATCCTTGAAGCTCATCCACGTGAAGCTGATCTAGTAACACCAAGCCCTTAACGCCTAAACCCTTAAACCCTTCGACCTTTAAACCCTTATAAACCCTAAACCCTTAAACCCTAAAACCCGTAAACCCTTAAACCCTAAACCCTGAAACCCCTAAACCCTTAAAGCTTTAAACCCTTGAACCCCTAAACCCTAAACCACTAAACCCGTAAACCCTTAAACCCTAAACCCCTGCAGTTGGATGTCCGTTGCAGGCTGTGCTGTCTGTTAACCGTGGCTGTCGCTCGGCAGGGGCATCTGCGAGGCTCCCCAGAGAGCCCATGCCCCTTAATTAATGAATACCTTAACCTACCAAAACCTACAAAAAAGTAGGGTCCCTATAAATTCCGTATTGGGGTTTATAATAGGAACCTACAAAAAAGTCGGTTATGGTAGCCTAAGGTATAGCTTAAATCATGATATGAAGCCCCTGATGATTTAAGGCATATTCCTTCATTAAGGGGTATTGGGCTTTCTTAATCCCTGCCTGAATATCTGGCTGCGCACGAACTTGTTCAAACTGATCATTCCTGAGTGTGCCAACGTACCTCAGGGACTGCGGCGCTGGGGAATCCAAGAGGCCCTTGATCCTTAAGGACCAAATGAACCCTAAAAGGGTTTAAGGTTCATATACCATATAGGGATTCATAGTATATGGGTATAGGGCCCCTACTTTTAAGGGTCATTTGGTCCTTCAGGATGCAAGCCCTTGCAAACTCCGCATTCCACGCAAAGTGAACAGCCTGCAACCGCTGAGTATGGAACTACACGTCAAGCTGTGTGCAGAATTGGAAAAGGAAAAGAAGCCAGTCCGTCGAACGGAGATTGGTCTATACCGCAGGCCGCATGCACCCCAGGAGCCTGGCCCACGGAGGTCTTCCTCGCAGGGTACCCGGGTCATGACTCTTTGCAAGCTGCAGGTCATTTGCGGATATCACGAGTGGCTCTCACCACTCTCCGATGGCATGAAGCGGTCGAATACGAGTCCTGCCGCCTGCTTGGCAGAGAAGAGCGCCCTGGGCTCTGACCGTCTTGTCGGCTACCAACTCGCTGGGCGTTTAGATGACAGAGGTGTCACCTACTGACACCGGCCGCTCTTTGAAGATCAACGCCAGGATGGCAGGAATGGAAAGGGGCATGTACGCCACGCCGGCGAAGGACTGACACAAGACTTGATTCAAATCCTCACGCATCAGGAAAGGGAAACCCGGAGGCCAACTGCTGGCATGGACGGGGCATAGGCTTCGTAAGCTATACCCAGTATCAAAGACCTGATAAGCCGCCTTTGCCCATCCTTTGTTCACCTGGCTTGCGAGCAAGGATGGCTCCACCTTGCAAACATCAACATGTTCGCCGGCTTGGTCTTAGGGTCTGGGGTTCCGAACTTGATGATCTTTGACGACCGTGAGGGATGAACGATTGTGCTGCCTAGCAGGACGACGGTCGACTGCAGCCGTGAAACCCAGCAGGCCAGCAAAGATGTGCAATAAATCCACAACAAAAGCCTCATACTATTCCAGTGATGCTGGAAAAACATAAACAAGCCTGTAAAGCCGCTGTAATCATACGGAAGTTTCAGCAACTAAAAGAGCCTAAGATGAACCCTCGTGACAAGGTTGCCGAAACAAGCTACCCCGATTTAACTTTGCGAAACCACAAAACCTACAATACCCGTTGGCCAACGCAACCCCTCACAAGCCCTATACCCTAAAGTCCAGTACCCCTACTTGGAGGATCATGGGACTGGCAAGTAGGGTTAGAAGTACCCGAATTGGGTTAATTGTAAGTAACTATGACAGTAGACACCTTGCTTTTTCCCCAATTACTAAGTCCCATGATCCTTCAAGTAGACCCTAAACCCTAAACCCTCATAGTACCCCTATAGATTCCCTTAAAGGGACCCCTTACAGGAACCTCAATTACTAAGTCTCATGATCCTTCAAGCAGCCCCGAACCAGAAAGCCTTACATACTGTTGATGATATGAATCCTGCATTACCTTGAGGACACTAAACTATGGGAATAATGGTATATATATATATATACACCTTATTATGGGAAATGCAGGATTTATATCATCAACCGTATGTGCCCTTGAGGTCGACTGATGGGTTTGCAACTTGGGGCTAAGATCGGTTTGGGATGGTTGAGGGTTTAGGATCTAGGGTTCAGGGTTTAGGATTTAAGGTTTAGGGTTTAGGGTTTAAGGTTGTTTAGGGTTTAGGGTTTAAGGTTTAGGATTTGAGGTTTAGGGTTTCATGTGGAGCCCTGAATATACTTAATACAGATTCTACAAGGGATCCTAACACCGGGTTATGCTGTAACCTTACCCTAAGCCTCAAACCCTAAACCCCAAGCCCCTTAGAGAAAGGGCTTTCTTGAATCCGAAGGCTGGGCCGTGGCCTTAAGCTTGTCGCAGAGAGGCTCCAGGACCTGCCCGTTCGGAGTTGAAGAACTGTTGCAGGATTTCGCCCCTGGATTTTGTAAACCCTAAACCCCTAGACCCTAAACCCTAACCCCTAAACCCTAAACCCTAAACCCTAAAACCCTAAAACCCTAAACCCTAAACCCTAAAACCCTAAACCCTAAACCGTGTAGGGCTTTTAGAATACAAGGTTTGAGAGGTAAAAGTTTCGAGGCTTCAGGGTTTGGGGGTTAGGTCCCTGGAGCTTGGCTTTAGTAAACTCACTGGCCCAGAACCCAAGGAAGTAAAAGTTGAAACTTTCAGAATCGACTACCTTATAAGAACCCCAAAAGTTGAAAAGTTGAGTTTACAGCCAATACGTAAAGGGAACTGAGAGTTTCGACCCTTAGGGTTTATTAGAGGTTTGGATTTCGGGCTCAAGAGATTTAGAGAGTTCAGGGTTTACGGTTTAGGGACCCACAGGCCCCAATATCCCTTAATGAAGGAATATACCTTAAATTATCGTAGGATTCCTAATATGATGTAAGGAATATTCCTGAATTAATTCCCTTGTAGAACCCGTATAGATCCCTTTTAGGAGCCCCCTTTAAGGAACCCTTATAGATCCCTTTAAGGGACCCTTTTTTGGGAATATTCCTTGATTAGGGGATATTGGAGTCTCTGGGGATTAGGATCCTGGGCTTACTGAAGAGGTATTGGGATTTGCGAAGCGAGAAACCCGAAACCCTACATTCCCCATGGTATCTGCAATCGTACTTGAAGGATCAAGGGACTTAGTAATTGGGGTTATAAGTAGGGTAACTATAGTTATGATTACTTATAACCCCAATTAAGGTACTTACAACCCTACTTACTAAGTCCCCTGATCCTGCAAGTATGCCAACCGCTAGACCCTTAAACCATCGTGGCTATTCTAAGGGCCACAGGTCCGCAACAGCCATTTGTTCATCTGTTTTCGCACGCTGGACCGCTTGGGTGTCCATAACCTTGCTGAGAAGAAAAGGGTAAGGGATATTGGAGTCTCCGGGAGCTCGGCAAAGTACAGCGCAGACTGGCTGCTCGCATCTTTGACATCGTGCTGCCGCGAGTAGCCGTTCAGCAGGTTCAGTCCCTTCCTGGCCTCTGCGCCGAGCTCAACATAGGCATCGTCAGGCCTGTTGGGATAGCGTAGGGCCTGCTTGAGGCTCAAGTACCACTGAAGCCCTAAACCTCTAAGACCTAAACCCTGAACCCTAAACCCCGAATCCTAAATCCTAAATCCTGAACCGCTAAACACCTAGAACCCAGATACCTGAGTCGAAGCGGGTCGTGGTCTACATCAGCCCATCCTACATCCCACACTCTACACCCAAAACATCCCAAAACAGTACACCCTCAATCCTAACTCCAGACTCCTATCCAGCAACAGCCTGTGCCCTCAGTTTCACCTTCGAAATGGCTGTGTTTAGCAGTTCTGCACGAAACGTCAAGCACTGTCGAACAACCCTGAACCCTAAACCATAAACCCCTAAACCCCTAGCCTTAAATCCTGAACCCTAGATACTAAACTCTGCAGCCTAAGCCCTGAAAACGATTAGCCCTTGAGGCGGGCGCCCATCGAGACCTTAAGGAAAGGCGCCTATAACCTGAAAAACACTCAGAATAACAACAAAACTCATACTGACAATAGTCATGGCACTACTGTAACAACGATAAAAAGGACCATGAAGAATAGAAATAGTCATGATTGAAAAGACTAAGAAGAAGAATACCTTTAGAGTCATCATCACCAACATCATCATCGTCATCATCATAGCAATATTACCCATGATAAAAATGCTTCAACCCCAAAGACCCATGAAGGCGAGGTTAAGAGGTTTGGGGTCAGGGTTTCGGGCCTGGAGGCTTAGTGTCCACGGCTTCGAGTTTAGGGCAATGTCGATGCTTGGGGCATTAGACTAGGGTTTAGGGCTTAGGGTTTGAGGTTTAGGAGCTTGGGGTTTAGGGTTTAGGGGTTGTTTAGGGGTTTAGGGTTAGGGTTTCACCTACATTTGCCTGCCCAAAGACAGCGTCATCCTTCATCTGCGATAGGATATGTACGTGTGTACGTGTGCATGTATGCATGCATGTATGTAAGTATGTATGTACGTATACACATATGTATACATATGTATACATATATATATATATATATATATATATATATATATTTATATTTATATGTATACATCTGTTTGTTCTTTCCTTTAGCGTATTTATTTGTAATATATATATATATATATATATATATATATATATGTGTATGTATGTATGTATGTATGTATGTATGTATGTATACGCACATGTACATATACATGTACATATACATGTACATATACATATACATATACATATACATATACATATACATATGCATATACATATACATATACATATACATATATATATATATACATATATATATATATATATATATATTAACATATACATATATCTGTGTTATATATACTCATGAAGGAACGGTTGGTTACCTGTCGCCTGCTTGGCTGCCGAGGCCTTCTCAAAGTTCTCCCCACTCTTCAGACCACGACCACCCGCCACGACACGGCTAGCCTCATGTCTCTCAGTTTCCAAATACCCAAGGGAGGAAAAAGCTCAAACTTCCAGAATAAGACTACCTTATAAGAGGCCAAAAATTAAAAAAGTTGGGTTTTGAACCACTAAGTTCTTGGGAAGATACTGGATTTAGGCTTTCGGCTTTGGGGATCAAGGTTTCTGAGGCTTCGGCTTTAGGGTTCAGGCTTTCCGAGCAAAGGTCGGGTCGAACCTGGATCTGGCCTAATGTAGGAACCTGATTAAGAAACCTTGGGCCTTTATGACGGTTCCTTTAAAAGGGATCTATAAGGGTAGTATGATAATGTAATTGGAACCTGAGTAAGGAAACTTGGGCCTTTATTCGGACTCCTTAGATGAATCCTACTATTTTGGAGTTGTAAGGCCAGGGGTTTCTTAATCAGGCTCCTGCAATACTGAGACATAGACGGGCTAGAGGCAAGGTAACTATCATTGGCCTTATAAATACAACAGACCCTAACCCCATTCGAGGCACTTACAGCCTTGGACCTTGCCTGCTAAGTCGCGCGATCCTCTAAGTCTTGAGTGTGGGAGGGTTTAGTTTAAGGTTTAAGGCTTTGGGTTTTGAGTTTGGGGGGCCCTAAAACCCTAAACTCGCAACTCAACTGCAGCGCAAGTGGCGCTGTTGAGCTGCGGCTTGTCACTCTGGGCTTCAGAGTCTTTAAGCCACTCAATACCTTGAAGCATCGGCTCAGGGTGTATGGGCTTAGGGCTTTAGGGATTTAGGGGTTTAAGGCTCTAGGGCTTTTTTAGGGGTTGAGGGTTTAGGTGTTCTGGGGTTTAGGGTGCAGGTCTAGGGCTTGCGGGACTTCTAGGGTTCTTGAAGGGTTATGTAGAGCCTTTTGTCTTGCGCCGTGACAGGATAGCGCGACTGTATAATGGACAGTACTTGAAGGATCATAGGGCCTAGTAATTGGGGTTATGAGCAAGGTAACTACACTTATAGCTGCTTATAACCCCAATTAAGGTACTTATAACCCTACTTACTAAGTCCCATGACCCTCCAAGTAGCACGGGGTATGCTGGGCTAGGGTCTTGAGAAATTTAAGGCTTAGGGTCTTAAGTCGGGGCTGTCAAAACTAGAATAGTGTTTCGGGGCTCATTATACTACCATTATAATAAAGAGCGCACAAAATAGTACAGGCAATTATTTAGGCCGCTTTTTTAGGGCTTAGGATCATGAGACGCAGTGGCTACGGCTACGCAGGTTGTAACGCAAGGCATTGGTATCCAAACTCTGCGACAATTGAAGACCCTACTTCTAACCTACTTGCTAACCTGGCCTGATCCTGCACGCAAGGCATAAAGCATGGGGTTTGGGCTTGGGACTGTGGCTCGCAGTTCAGTGACTACATCATCTTGAAGTTCGGAAGCTTTGTTCAAAAAGGCATCTTCAACAACTCTACAGACCATAAATTGCGATAAGACCACTTTTACCCCTTTTCAACAAGGTACCTCCCCCCTTCTCCCATCCTCTAAATAGGGCGGGACCCTAAACCCTAAGCCCTAAAACCAGCTCACATTTAGGGATCCTAAACCCTAACCATTAAAGAAACTGACCTTGTTTTAGGGGCCCTGAACCTTGAACCCTAAAAACAAGTCACCTTGTTTTACGGACCCTAAACCTTACTTAAAGGATCATGGGACTTAGTAATCGGGGTTACAAGTAAGGTAGCTACAGTTACAATGACATATCGCCCCAATTAAGGTACTTATAACCCTAATTACTGAGTCCCATGATCCTCCAAGCAGACCCTAAGCCCTAAACCCTTATAGTACCCCTATAGATTCCTTAAAGGAACCCTTAACCCCCTACTTACCAAGTCCCATGATCCTCCAAGTAAACAATGTCAACTTTTGCATGGTAACTACACTTATATCTTCTTATAACCCCAATTAAGGTACTTATCACCCTACTTACTAAGTCCCCTGCCTCTAAGTAAAACAATGTCAACTTTTGTTCGGCCCGGCCTGCGCCAGCTCCGGTCTTCGCGTCCACGGCCTCTACCCGAGACTCTTCCGTGGCAACTTTCGTTGCTGAGGGGGTTTAGGGTTTAGGGTTGGTTTCGGGTTTAGGGATTTTTGAGAGTTTAGGAGGGGTTTAGGAGGTGTGGAGGAGGGGTTTAAGAGTAGCAGAGGTTTAGGAGGGGTTTAAGGCTTAGGCTTAGGGTTCATAGGGGTGTAAAAGGGTCTAGGGCTTTAGGGTTCGAGGCTGGGGATGGTTTGCTTAGTTGCTGAGTTCATAAGCCCCACTTGGAAGGGCAGGGGACTTAGTAAGTAGGTTATAAGTAGAGATATAAGTACCCTGCATGGAGTTACCCCAATTAAAACCCTACTTGTAACCTACTTACTAAGTCCCCTGCCCTTCCAAGCAGAAAGTGTACACTTTCAGGTTTATGGTGGGTAATATTCTCCCAAAAAATGTAAAGTGTATCCACTCAGCTACTAAGTTTGGAGGTCCGAGGGCTCAAAAAGGCTTAGGGCTGAGGGTTAAAAGACTAGGGCTGGTGGTCTACTTGGAGGATCATGGGACTTAGTAAGTAGGGGGTTAAGGGCTCCTTTGAGGGATCTTTTGGGGTACTATAAAGGTTTAGGGCTTAGGGTCTGCTTGGAGGATCATGGGACTTACGAAGTAGGGTGAAAAGTATTGTAATTGGGGTTATAAGTAAGTATAACTGTAGTTACCTTACTTATAACCCAAAGTACTAAGTCCATTGATCCTTTAAGTAGACCCTAAACCCTAAACCCTTCTAGTACCCCTATAGATTCCCTTAAAGGGATCCCTTAAAGGAACCCTTTAAGGGCTAGTTGCCCAGGGGTTTAGGGCTGGGGCCTGGGGGGTTTAGGGCTTTTAACCTTCAGGGTTTAGGGGGTTGAATCAGTTTAGGGTTTAGGGTTTAGGGTTTAGGGGGTTGAAGCTTGATTTAATCCAGGTTTCATGGATGGTGTATATGGGTGGTTGTCAAAATTATGGTCCGTTTTTGGGTCCCCATTACAATAAATACGGCACATATTATTTAGGGCCCCAACAGGGACCCTAATTTTGACAACCACCCATATGGGCTAAGGAAGATGACAAAGTAAAGAGGCTTGACTCGTTTGACTAAGGTTGCGGGGTTCCTACTTAAAGGATCATGGGACTTAGTATTTGGGGCTATAAGGAAGGTAACTACAGTTATAATTACTTGTAACCCCAATTAAGGTATATAGAGATAACCCTACTTACTAGGTCCCATGATCCTCCAAGTACACCATAAACATACTAAGGAGCAAGCTAAGGAAGACTGAATACGAAACATTAGGTTGCAGCACAATACGCTACAGCAAAACCCCCAAACCCTAAACCTCAAACAGCAAACTATATCAGATTATATGTAACACTGCTACACAGCTGCATAGCTACATTGAGGAGTCAATGTGAATCCATTTGGAGCTGCGATCTGGGGAAACGTCAACTCCTTGGGCTTTGAGCTTTGCGGAGAGTCTAGCGTTTAGGGTTCAGGAGGGAATTGAAACAACTTCGGGGTAGTGTTCGGGCCACGGGCTGGAATAGATGCGGATCTGAGGAGTGTCCGGATCCATTGGGAGCTTTGAATCAAAGCCTGACAGCAGGAGTGCGCTTTCTGTGAATTTGATTTGTCAAAAAGCACAATCCTGAACAAGTCGGCCTGGGAGGGATGCAGGAAGCCATGGACCGTTGAGAAAGCCATTGAGGCTTCTGAGTTCGAATGTAAATTTCTGTGGATGACCTTGTTCGTGCTGGATGCGAATGCTCCTCCAACAACTGTGCTGGACCTCGTGCACAGTGCGCCCAAAGCCTTGATGTAATCTTTCTCGCCCCTGGAGTGCCCAACCTTGACTCTAAGGCGCGCTCTGCTTGACATGTAATTAAGGCGTTCGCCTGTGGATTGCATCTTGTCCACAAAGTAGTCAAGCAAAGGGTCAGAGCATCCTTTCTCCTGGGCCGAAGCTCGGTATCCTTTTTTCCATAGACGTTGCCGGAAGCGTCCCCTGCACCTGAACAACTGCCACTCTGTAGAGTCTGCTGAGTTGCATCTGGAGCTGGCACAGCCACCCTAAACTCTAAATCCTAAACCCTAAACCGCCAAGAGCTTTGCAGCGCCGTCGCTACAACAAAGTAGGTTGTGGCAGATTAGGGCACCCCTAAACCCCTGAACCTTGCCTCGCGTACCCATGCACAGGCTCTCTGCGACTCGCTCTTCGCAGGCAGGGGGCCAAAGCAATTGGAAAGGATTTTGTGGGACATGAAACTATAGCTCTTTTTCTTTCCGAGCCCCAAAATGTTAATCTGGATCCTTAACAATTAACAATTAGAATAGGGCTTTTCTGTGGGAGATGAGACTATAACTCCATATCTTTCGGACCCCTCCAGTGTTCCCCTGAATCGTCCATGCAGCACTCCAAAGGTAGGAGACCAGCCCACCAGCGCAAGTGAAACCACGTTACTATATCATACAATATTATGCTCTATAATACTATATTATATTATATCAGAAAAGATAAGTCAGATAAGTCTGCCCGCATGCATGGCAGCGATGGGGAGTCCTCGTGACCAGTGACGCCGCCCAAAGGTCCGCTGTTGCCTTTTGCCGGAACGGTTGATGATATAAATCCTGCATTACCCATAATAAGGAATATACCATAATTCCCATAGTTTAGGGTCCTTAAGGTCATGCAGGATTTATATCATCAACCGAAGCACGACCTGTCTGCAGCTGGCGCGCATCAGACTCGCTGAAGTCTGTGTTCAGCACGGCTCCGTGCACCAACATTGCCGCAGAAGGCAGTGGAGGAACCTAGCTAAGGAAGCATGCCCGGCATTTCCCCTCATAAAGCCCAATGAACTTGCAAGAAAAGTTACAAATCCGTATAGAGCGTGTAAACCGCCACCAAGGCAGCCCGATTAACACCCAAAAAAGAATCACGTAACTTGTGAGGCATACTCTAAATCTTAAGTTATACAGAAGCACTTGTAAAGTTATAAAGGCCTATGAAACCCGTACAAAACCTTACAAAAACGAGCCCTACAAACGCCTATGGCTCTCCTATAAAGCCAAGAGAACCCCTAAACCCTAAACCCTAAAACATGGACCGACCTCAACTGGCGCAGCAGAAGCTGCAGCACCAGCGGCCTCATCACACTGGGAGCGTGGGGTTTTGGGTTTAGGGTTTGTGATGTTTGGCCTTAGGAGTTCAGGGTTTGGGTCCAAGGGAGTGTTTGGCACTTTCGGCGTGAGGGTTAAATGTTTATTTCGGGCTTTACGGGTTTAGGTAAGCTTGAAAGATACGTTGGCTTCCTAAAACACAGAGGTGCCTTCCTCGCTGTCTAACGTTTCATATGATTCACGGAATCTTGCTTAACTCAACAGCCTGCAAAACCTAAGATTAAGCTATCTCGCCTAAGTCACAGGGGCATGCGGATTCCGGTAGGCCTCCGCAAAGACCCCATAAAACCATCTCACAACTTACGATACTAGACATCTTACTTAGTTACAGGGATACTTTTGCTCTCTGAGTTGGTGGTTGGCACATGGGGTTGTTGTGCTGGACGAAAGCCCAACCCTTGCTAATATAGGGGCCTTTAATAATTAGAGTAGGGTTTGGTGGTATAATATACTATAATCGTAATCAGGAGACTCCCCCCCCCTCAAAGAAAAATATGTAGTATGTATTTAGGCCCCTGTAATGGTGTCGGAGCCGCAAGAACAGAGCTGTTGCTCCATGATGCCATGACTATATTATCGGGACAAGAAGGGAAGACTATAGTCTGTAGTCCTAAAGATTCGAACCTCTTGTTGCCGTTCCTGTTAACTCACTGGCCCAAAACCCAAGGAAGTAAAAGTTGAAACTTTCAGAATCGACTACCTTATAAGAACCCTAAAAGTTGAAAAGTTGAGTTTACAGCCAATACGTTAAATTTCGGGATGATAGGGATTGAGGGTTGGACGCAGGATCTAACTCTCTGCTTGTCACTCTTTCGAGTGCAGTGTCGCGGCGACTTCCTTTACACATGTTCAATCAGGAACGGCAAACTATAACTTTGCTGTTGCGGAACTGTCGCCTGCCTCATCAATTCCAAACAATGACTGGTTCCCTTGAAAATCCTGAAGCCAGGAACCCTAAACAATCCGAAAGGTTTAGGGTTCAGGGCTTACGTTGTGCGGCTCTTCCGATGCACTGTCGGTGCCAGCCCTTCGCACCATTTCTTATCCGAGAGCTTAGGGTTTAGGGTTTAGGGTTTGTTGGAAGCATTCTCCCTGGGCCTCCCCTAAGACCTCACATACCCCTTTCAGGAATTCGGATGCTGAAAGCATCTGATATAACTCTCGACCTATACTCTATACTCAATTGGCGCTTCCACCTGAAAGGCCGAAATTCCATGGGTAAAAGAAGGAACCCTTAATACGGACCCCGAGGTATATACCCTTAATATAGCTATTATATACCCATTATATGGCTCCATTATAGGGTAGGGGTCCCCATTGAGGGTCCCTCCTTTTCCGCTAAACCCCCTAAACCCCCAAACCCCTAAACCCTATACCCTTATAGAATCCCTATAGATCCCTTTAAAGGGTCCCTCCTTTTCCCCTTTGAGAAATGCATGCGCGGCGCCTCAAAAGCTGTTTGCCGGAAGGTCAGCAGACGAACATCATCCGAACTTTGCACCTGGGCGTTTCCGAAAATAGGGGACCCTATTATAGGACCCTAAATAGTAGGATCCTTATTATAAGGACCCCAAAATAAGGTACCCCCCCATTTTCGGAAACTCCCACCTAGCCGTCGAAACGAAGGCAGGACGTGGTACGGCTGATGGTATACATCCTGCATTACCCATAATAGGGAATATACCATAAATCCCATAGTCTAGGGTCCTTAAGATAATGCAGGATTTATATCATCAGCAGTAGCATAGGGGCCCTGTAGACTTCTGGTAGCGGCAGACAAGAAAGAAAAAACCTGTTGTTTGGTTCGAATTTGGGGCGGTCGCGGCCCCGGACGCCGCCCTTCCGGCCCCGGCATAATGTACTTCAAGGATCATGGGACTTAGTAAATAGGTTATACGTGGGGTTATAAGTCCCCTAAGTGGGGTTATCCTAATTATAACCTACTTCTAACCTTACTTACTAAGTCCCATGAGCCTTCAAGCAGGGGCCCAATCGGATTTCGGGGGTTCCTTATTATAATCATACGGTTGATGATATAAATCCTGCATTACCCATAATAAGGAATATACGGTAATTATGGTATATTCCTTATTATGGGTCATGCAGGATTTCTATCATCAACCGTAGTATACTGGGCGCCCAAACCCTATTCTAACTACGGAGGCCCCTAAAGTATGCCGGTCATCCCCGAGTCGTCCCCAAGCACCTTAACTTGCTATTAGGGTTTAGGGTTTAGGGTTTAGGGTTTAGGGTTTAGGGTTTAGGGTTTAGGGTTTACTATAGGGGTCTTAATAATTACCTATACTATTTTTGAGGGGTTCCTGGTTATGGTTGGAGTCTACTGGGCCCCCAAAAACCTATTCTAATTATTAAGACCCCTATATTACTCCATCCATTCGTGCAGCCATCCATGATCGCAATCGTACTGGCAATCGTATTGGTCATAGCAACATACTTCTAGTAGTGATTCCACTCATGGATGCACGGATGAATGGATGGACGGACGGATGGATGGATGATGGATGTGCCGGGAAAAGCTGATCATTTGCATGGATGACCGGCTGTCCGAACAAACGAGCGTGTTGAGCTGCAGGGCCTGCGAAACTCGCTGCAACAATACACTGTAAGGGTGGTGCGTGCAGTGACCCCCGAACCCAGACCCCCGGGAGGATCCAAAAAGTAGATCCCCTAATGGTGGCTCCGATAAATTACCCTTAGTAGTACAGGGACCCAATTTAGGGGATCTACTTTCTAGATCTGGGAAGCCAGCACGTGAAAACCAGGTTTGAGAGCGGGAGGCAAAGGTTCTCAGGTAGGACGGGCAAAGGGCGGAGGGAGGTGTGGTGGTGGCAGGGGGAGGGGGGTGGGACTGGGTTGAGCCTTGGTCTCGCCTCCTGTCTTTTCTTTTTCCTAAAGCTCGCCACAACTTTTCCTACACCCCGAACCCTCATCCATCAACCCACATTAGCAAAACCCGAGCACCAAAACTTCGAACCTTAAATCCAACCGCCAGCACAAACCCTTCTGAGCCAGGCACCGTGGCGATGGCATTGCCGGCGTACATCGGCCGGCGATAGACGCCATCCTCCTGTCGCAAATTGAGGCTTGATGATTCTTGTCCGCTTAGGCTAGCTCCTTTTCCTTCCCTCCCTTCCATAAACTAAGCCCAAAGCCAAAACACCAAAGCTCTCAGCCCTCCATCCTGAAAAGAACTCTGCACCTTGTAAGCCCCAAAATCAAAGGCCCGATCAGACAATACAGCCCAAAACGATAAAATCGATCAATGACAACAAGTACGACCAGGATTCTTAGTCATTCTAGCATATTCTAGCTACTATTTCTAGCTACCGTTGCCAACCTTATATTTTTACATGTGTATGTGTATATGTACGAAAACCCTAAACCCTGAACCCTAAGTACGAAAAGGGAGTTTCCGAATATAGGGGACCCTAACGTAGTACCCTACATAGTAGAATCCTGATTACAAAAACCTCAAAATAAGGTACCCCTACTTTTCGGAAACTCCAAGGTAAGCCCTAAACCCTAAACCCTAAACAGGCCCTAAACAGGCCCTAAACCCCTAAACCCCTAAACCCCTAACCCCTTTAAAGGATCCCTTATAGATCCCTTTAAAGGAACCCCTAGCAACCCTAAAGCTTTAAAATCAGCCCAGGCCTCGGCCAACTCAACGATGCTCTATAAACCTCTATAGGGCCCTTTAAAGGAACCCTAATAGTACCCTTATAGTAACCCTTTAAAGGAACCCCAAACCCTTAAAACCCTAAACCCTTACAGTACCCTTCTAGTACTTAAAACATCATAAAACGTAATAAGTGGGGTTATAAGCAAAGTAACTACAGTTCTAATTGCTTATAACCCGAATTAAGGTACTTATGACCCTACTTACTAAGTCCATGATCCTCCAAGTAACCCTATCAAGGAACCCCAAGTTCCCGGCCTCGGCCACCTCGAGGATGTCCGTAATGGGCTGCACGTCCAGGCTGGCCGCGAGGCGTGGGAGCGTCTCCTCTGCACTTCGACCCCCTAAGGGCCTCCTCAAAAACGAACCCCTGAAGGGAGCCCTTAAAGGAGCCCTTAAAGGTTTAGGGGCTTTGGGTGTAGGTAACCCCGCATGTCTTAAAGGAACCCTTAACGGTTAGGGGAATTTGGGTGTAGGGTTTCGAGGAGGAGTCGACACGCAAAGTCTCCCAAAAAAGGTGTGAGATGGTTTTGCAAGGGTGTTTCAGATTGCTTATGAGCGCCTCTACGGGTTTGGAAGGGCCTTAAAGAGACCAGACCAGGGCTTTGGGCTTTAGGATTTAGGGTGTAGGGTAAAGGATCCAGCGCCGGAGCAGCTCTAGGGTTCTTATAGGGGCAAGATGGGTTCATAATTTGGGTTTAGGGTTTAGGGGTTTAGGGTTTAGGGTTCGCCAGCGCAGTTGCTGGCGCCCTGGTCAATTCCGCTTTTGAGCATTTGAAGCAATTTCTCTTCCCTATAGGGGGCGCCCCTAAGTGCAAAAACGTCACCCCTAAGTGCAAATCGCCCCTAAGTGCAAAATCGCTCCTAAGTGCAAAAGCGCCCCTAAGTGCAAAAGCGCCCCTAAGTGCAAAAGCGCCCCTAAGTGCAAAAGCGTTTTGTGGCATGAAGAGGGCCTGGAAAAGGCCGAAAATCAGATTGGGGGCTTGGGAAGGCGTGGAAGAGGCCAAACACCAGTTTGGGGGCTTGGAGGGGGCGTCGAAAAGGCCAAAAACCTCACGGGCCGCCTTCAGATTGACACTGCCTGCCGCCCTCCCCCCCCCGATTGACAGTGTCAATCCGCCCCGCCGCCGGGCGGGGCAGATTGACCCCCCCGCTTCCGCCCCCCTGCCACCCCACCCCCTTCTTCCTGCCCCCCAGCCCCCTACCCCCTTGCCCCTCTGCCCCACCCCCCTTCCCCGCCCTCCCCCACCCCAGCACAGCCCAGCCCAGCCTAGCACAGCCCAGCCCAGCCCAGCTTAATCCTGGCCCCTTATTTACATGTTGCAATTTACTCAAACTGTCAATTTACTTAAACTGTTTTTTGGGTGTCGGTTGCTTGCCTTAAATCCCGCCTTCCTTTTGCTCTTAAAGCCACAACCTGCGCTGGCGCATCTTCGGCCTTGGCCGTCTAAATTTAGGGTTTAGGGTTTGGGGCTTTCGGGCATGCTTCAATCATCAGGTAACATGGTAAGTATGCCATACTTCGGGTTATGAAACAGCTCTATTTGGGGTTGGGCCACCTACACTGCTCGATGGCCCTAGCAGTGCAATACTGCAATACGGTTTACGGTTTAGGGGTTTAGGGTTGACTGAGCACGACCGATCGGAATGACTTCACAGTCCTCGAATCATGCTGGCGGACTGGGCATTTCTTGTGACAGTCCTCATGATGACCATGGCGACAGCATCGCACATGGCCGGAGGGTAAGCAGCACTTTGTTTGCTGCGATTGCCCAGCTTCGGCATGCCTTTTATGCTTCCGTGGACCGTCTGGCGACGTTCCACACATGTGCACTTTCTCTTCAGACTGGCTGGGGAGCTTGAGCAGCTTGAGCTGGCCCACTTCTGGTGCTTTTTCATTGGCCGTCCACTGGCTGCATCCTTAAGGCCCCAGGCACAGCTAACAAAGCTGGTGGACTCGAGATGTTCGAGTGTTAAATTTTAGGGCTTAAGGTTATCCGGAGAACTGCTGACACAAAAGTTAAACAATCAAGTTTTCATCCCCCAACACTGTACTGAATCTTGCACCTCGGTTGGAAGGCTCCGGGATCTTAGTGTTACTTACTACTTAAAGCATCATGGGACGTAGTAATCGGGGTTATAAATAAGGCAACTCCGGTTATAATTACTTGTAATCCCAATTAAGGTGCTTATCACCCTACCTAGTAAGTCCCATGATCTTCCAAGTAAGTCCCCAGAATCAGCATGCCAGGTCCGCAACCGCCAAAACTAGTAGAAGCCGAAGTCCGGACGAATCCGGAAGTTTTAGCGCCCCATATAGCGCCCCAAAAAAGCACATAAGCAATCATTAGGGATATCCAATATTAAACCCCCTTATAATGAAGCCCAACAAGGTAGGGATATCGTATAAAATGCCTATGCTTATGCGCCTTTTGGGGTCCCTACCATACGCTGTAGGGTAGGGTCCAAAAAAATTGAGTAGTTTTGGGTTTTGGGTCAAGGGCTTAAGCTTCAACCCTTACCTGGACCCCAAAAGTACATAGAAAAAAAGCCTTTTAATGAGTATTGGGCCATTATTTTACCTACTTACTTTGGGGGGGTTTTAGGTAAGAGCTGGGTTTGGGTTTCTCTCCTGAGGGGTAAGAACTGTTGATGGTATAAATCCTGCATGACCCATAATAAGGAATATACCATAATTCCCATAGTTTTGGGTCCTTAAGGTCATGCAGGATTTATACCATCAACCCTAAACCTACAACCCTATATAGATCCCTTATAGGAGCCCCTTAAAGGCACCCTTATAGATCCCTTTAAGGGGACCCCATCAACCGGACGCTACGGAAATCTGGGTGTCGTGTCCGTCCTTCGCCAAAGAACTGGACACGGCGGCGACGCATTTGTAACCTTTCTGCATGGGGTTTACGGTTTAGGGTTTAGGTTTGACCCCCTTACAGTAAGTCCCTACCTACATCCCCAACCCTGAACCCAAAGCTCAAACACCCCCAAAATCCCAACACTTATCAGACCTTCAAAATCCAGACCCTTAACACCCCGAGACGCAGAAACCCAACCCCGACCCCGAAAAGCTTGAACCTTGTAAAACCGTACCGAAGCGAGTCTCTGGGTACTGTGCAGAGTTGACAGGCCCTCAGCCTTGGGGTTTTACGCTTTGGAACTGGGGTTGGGGGTTCTCGGTTGTTGGGATTTTGTTGTGGGCTTCGGGGGTTGATTGTGTAGACCTTTCGTACGTTGTGCTGAGTACATCGTGTTCGGTAGGCATGAATGTGTGTCACTCCAAGTGTTGTGCTTATTCGAAGTGGCGAGAGCCGTGTAAAACAGCTGACCTGAGGGTACATGATGCGCGGCGACTCCCGCGAGCCCGCCCCCCCTGCGGTGAAAGGTCTTGTTACCTAAACCCCCCGAAGTATGTTTCTACATACTTTTGGGGTCCAGGCAGTTTGAACTGAACGGCTTTTTTGGCACAACCCAACGCAACTCAGGCCTCCCCAGGGCCTCCACAAGGTACTTGTCTTTTTGAATTGAAAGATAAGTGGGTGGTCGTCAAAATTAGGAGCCTTTTTTGGGTCCTTATTTTAAGACGGCACCTAATATTCAGGGTACGCAAAAAGGGACCATAATTTGGACAACCACTCAAGAAGGAGGCAGCCTCGCGAAAACGCATGGGCCCAACAATCTCACGAAACCTATGCGATGCAACTTCACGCCATGCAACCTCGCAACAATCTGAGAAACCACCTCACATCAACATCATCAGCAGCATCATCATCGTCAGCAGCAGCATCATCAGCAGCAGCAACAACATCAGATGCATCATCTTCACCATCGACACATCAACACCATCACAACATGTCATTCAAACTCGAACTACCTCCAAAGCTTGCCCCCACGCTTTCGGGAATAGAGCGGAATTTGTACTGGTATAACTATATGAGGACTGCAGGAAAATATTTAGCCTAAACCCCAAACCTTAAGCCCTAAACCCCAAAATCTTTAACCTTAGATCCGAGACTTTAGAGGGTTTGCAAAGCAACAGCAACATCGCAAGGTTTTTCGTCTTACTTGGAGGTTCGTGGGCTAGGATCTCAGGTTTAGCGTTTAAGCTAGCCCATCTCCAACCGAAATCTCGCTTCTTACGGAGAAAATACATGAGTCGAGCTGCTGTTCTGCTTCTGCAGCGATTCAAGCCTGGCTGGTTTTTTGCGGGGCCCCCTCTTCGCACGTTATGGATGTAGGGGTGTTCTTCTGTTTGCACTTGTAAGTGGCAGCTTCAGACAATCCGGGGCCACTGATTTCGGATCTTCGATATACCTACCACCGAACAGTGCACCCCCTATATGAGTTGAGAACCCGCCGGCGCAGAAAAAAAAATCGCAAACCCCAGCCCCCTAGTAGCAAATAAATGAAAAGCATATGGGAGGTTCCGAAATTTAGGGGTACCTTATTTGGGGTCCCTATAATAAGGATCGTACTATATATAGGGTAGGGTATTATATCAGGGTCCCCTTATTTTCGGAAACTCCCATATACAACCAGGAGTTTCAGGGTCTGACAGTCGGCTCAGAGGCTCTGGGATGGATACAACAATGGGTGTCAAGTTTAGGGCTTATGGTTTGGGGCTTAGGAGGGTTTTTTTTTTTTAGGAGGGTTTAGGGTTTAGGGTTTGGGGCTTAGGAGGGTTTTTTTTTTTTTTAGGAGGGTTTAGGGTTTGGGGCTTAGGAGGGTTTAGGGTTTATGGGGCTTAGGAGGGTTTAGGGTTTGGGGCGAGGAGGGTTTAGGGTTTAGGGTTTGTTGATGGCTGGGGACTACACAACCCTGTTATCGAGCCCTAAACGGCCGAGGGAGGTGGGAGTAGGGCTTCCGGGGTTTAGGTGCGCAGGCTGAGTTTAGCGCGGGCTTAAAGCTCAAACTCCAGGAGACCCTGCACGCTGACCCCGAATTCAGGGGCCTTCATCAGAATAAGGTTCCTTTAAAGGGGTCTAGAGGGTGCAAAAATACAGGGGCCTTAGTAATGAGAATAGGGTTTTGGGGCCCAGTATACCATGGTTGTAATAAGGAACCCCCAAAATAGTGTTGGTAATTATTTGGGCCCCTAGATAAGCTTTGACTATTAGGGACCTGGGGAGTTGGGTTGAGGGTTTGAGGGTTTCCAACTGCTGCCGAGGTTCAGCTCTGCTAACGTGTCTGCTACCTTGGCTGCAGTCGCAATGCCATACCAGAATCTCCAGGAACCCTCGACCGTCGACAACATGATCGATGCTGGCAGCTTGCACTCAAGACTTCTCAAATGGGAGTTTCCAAAAATAGGGGACCCTAATATGGTACCCTAAATAGTAGGATCCTTATTATGAAGGCCCCAAAATAAGGTACCCCTAAATTTTCGGAAACTCCCAAATCTTAATCCTAGAATTCAGAGCTACCAGCGGTCTCCGGCGTTGCCGATTTCAGGTAGTGGCGCTATTGCGCACCACATCTGCGAGTCCGAATACACTAAGGGATTCCGACGGTTCATGTGGGAGTTTCCGAAAATGGGGGACCCTAATATAGTACCCTGAACAGTCGGATCCTTATTATAAGGACCCCAAAAATAAGGTACCCATTATTTTCAGAAACTCCCATGTGGGCGGTTGTCAAAATCGAAGTGCGGGTCCGGGTACTCATTATTTTCGGAAAGTCCCATGTACACTTGTTACGGCACCGTCTTCTCAATAGCCTCACATTCCTTCGCAGGAGCGCAGAGCCTCTCAACCATAAACCCCAGAGACCCCAGAACGGAACCGGAGATCTGTTTTACCCGAATACTAGCAATGCAAAGAAAACACCATCAAAAAGTCATAAAGACACTGAGAGGGCCCCGTAAAGAAGAAACAAAAACCCTTCAAAAAAAACAGAAAAAAAGCAAACCGGATGGATTGTCCCAGTGGATTGTCCCAGCTGCTGGGTGCTCTAGCGGATCTGCTTCAGCAAGCAAGACCTGGAAAGGTTTAGTGGATCGGTTTGGGGCTTGGGCGCTGAGGCTTTTGAGCTGAGGTTTTGTGATAAGGGTCTAAGGCTTCGGAAGGTTTTTTTTTTTGAGGGCCTTTTTGAGTCTGCATGACAGAGTCTGACAGCTTCCTCAGCCCATTTGGGCAGGCAAACTTACACCCCTTTGCTCATCGTTACACCCTGCTCATCACATGGAGGTCGTAATCCCAGGCTTCGGAAGGTTTGTCGCTTAGGGTTTAGAGTTCGAGATTTTGGCCTTTTCAAGGTTTAGGGTTTAGGGTTTAGGGTTTAGGGTTTAGGGTTTAGGATTTGGGGGTTTAGGGTTTAGGGTTTAGGGTTTGGGGGTTTAGGGTTTAGGGTTTAGGGTTTGGGGGTTTAGGGTTTCCAGTTTTAGATCAGGGTGGGTTGTGCTGTAGCCGACCACTGAACCACTTGGAGTCACTTGGAGTCCCTGTCCCAAACAGTGAGCATCGGATGGATCCAAGAACAGCTTGAAACCCGAACGAGCCCCTATACCGCCGCCAAAATTTAACCCTAAACCATTAACCCCTAAACCCTAAAACCATAAAATAAACCCTAAAACCCTAAAACAATCCCTAAAACCCTAAAACCATACCTCAAACACTAAAACAAACCCCTAAAACCCTAAAACCAGCAAAAACCACGGATCCCAAAACCCCAAACGCCTAACCCCCTTTAAAGGATCCCTTATAGATCCCTTTAAAGAAACCCCTATGGCAACCCTAAACCCTTAAAACACCACACCCAATCTCTGCCTTGCTCACGCCTTGAGCCGTGGCGCCCTCCTTTGCCACCTCGCCGCAGCCTCCCCCCCCTTCACTAATTAGGGTTTCGGGTTTAGGGTTCAGGGTTTGGGGTTTAGGGGGTTTGTATTTTTGTTAATGCAATGCGCCCCTTTCCTTGGAACCGTTTAGAGTTTAGGGCTTCGGGTTTCGGCGTAGGGTGTATGCGCTTTCCTCTGTCTGGTATCATGTTGTTCTTGTGTCTTCAAGGTGTTTTTGCCCAGAGCTCGAGTTTTAAAATCCGTCGCCAGTACCATCATCTGCTCATCGCAGCTGTCACAACCTCGTCCTTCTCCGCAGCGCCCACACTATCACAGCAAACAGCTGTCTTCCATCATCTCCAACATCAGCGGTACCACATCCACGACATCGCCGCCGTCATCCGCATGATCATGTCATGACTGTCTCCATGATGACATCAATTCATCTTTCAAAGCTGCCATCACCATCACCATCAAAATCATGACTCATTATCATGAAATGGACCGTCCATCACCATCAACATCAGCATTGGCGAGGCATGAAGAACGAGGCATCAGGGGGTGCTGAACCCGGAATGTTCTGCTCGAAAGCGAAAGCCTCAGATCCGATAGCGTAAGAACAACCCGGCTCAGGGCAAAGCTTGTTGGGCTTAGGGTTTGGGGTTCCGGACCCTGCATTTCCAGTCATACGACAGGCACCTTTACCCGCAACGAGGAGGTCGACGCTGGTGCAGCCCGGCAGCTTGGACCTGATCTTCTCATTCACAATTGGTAGTATATGACAGTGAGGAAGGTGATACAACTACTACGATCATCATGCTGATGAAGATGATGATGATGATGGTGAGTATTACTAAGAGAGGGCTAAAGGTGATGGTTCTTGATATTGCGATCGACCCTGCGCCGATGCTTACGGTTTGCAACGGGCCATTGGTAGAGTGGAGCTGCGGATCCGCGCGAAGATGGACAAAATCCTGGATACTTGGACTAGCACGGTTGAGGGTGTATGGCTTAGAGTACCGACAAAGATGAAGAATTGTGGCATGTTCATGTGGCTTCCTCCTCAATCTGGGCGTTGGAGCCTAGCTCCTCTAGTTTGAGACTCCTGTTTGTTCAGGTTTAGGATGGTTTACTTAAACGATCATGGCACTTAGTAATTGGGGTTATAAGCAAGGTAACTACACTTGTAACTACTTATAACCCCAATTAAGGTGCTTATAACCCTACTTACTAAGTCCCATGATCCTCCAAGTAGGGTTCAGGGCTGCATTGGGTCGGCCGTCGATCTGAAATCTTGGCGCTTCGACCGTGCAAGGTTTTTTGTAAGACCCCATGCAAGCATGCCCTGGAACCCAAATAGAAATAGAACCCAATGGAACCCTGTGGAATGAACCCAATAAACCCGAGCAAAACCCCAATCCCTAAGCCCCGACTTTGTCGGCGACTCTGCCCCCTCTGCCCCCTCCTGCCCCCTGCCCTCTCTGCTCTCTGCCCGGCCAGGGCCTCCTGCCCTGCCCTGCCCACGGCAAACCCTAAACCTCAAAGGCGAACTGAAGCCTGGAGCATGCTCCAGCCACCAATCAGATCAGGGGCATAGCTATATTGGAGTTTAGGGTTTAGGGCTTCAAGATTGCCCTGTCATTGAGCAATATGCCTAAAGTCACCCAGGTTCGGAATTCCTAAAATCTCAAGCTTAAAGCCAAGCCCGCAACTCAATCCCAGAGACTCCAATATCCCTTAATCAAGGAATTTTCCTGAAATCGGATTAAGGAATTTAAGGTATCTTCCTTAATTAAGGGATGTTGGAGTCTCTGGGATCACCGAAGACCCACCGGGCTTGCCTCTGGGCTGCTCATGCTCACACCTCTACTTAAAGGCTCATGGGACTTAGTAAGTAAGGTTATAAGTAGGTTATAATTATATAGGATAACCCACTTAGGGGACTTATAACGCCAACTATAACTTATTTACTAAGTCCCATGATCCTTTAAGTAGCCTGCACCCTGTAAGAGCCCCGGGACCGGGACTTAAGCATCGCGAGACGCTAAACTGGTTTAGGGTTTAGGGTCCCTAGAGGGTTTAGGGTTTAGGGTATTAGGGTTTAGGGTTTAGAGATTAGGGTATTAGGGTTTAGGGTTTAGGGATTAGGGTTTAGGGTTTAGGGTTTTTCAAGTTTGGGGTTTAGGGTTTAGGGTCCCTAGAGGGTTTAGGATTTAGGGTTTAGGGTCCCTAAACCCTAAACCCTCAACCGCTAAACCCTAAACCCCATAGTCCAGGTTCCGGCTGTTCGGGTTTGGGGCTAAGGAGACATGGGACCGTGTCGCTGCGCACCACGAGGCAAAAGAAGTATCGATCTGAGGATTTTAGAGTTTGAGGTGTGCGATTTCGAGTTCGCGGGTTGAGGCTAGTTACTTCGTCTAGGGTTCCTTCAGGGTTTGAGGTCTACGGTTTAGGTTCCTTTAGGGTTCTCTTGTCTCTTTCATGATCCATACGGTTGATGATATAAATCCTGCATGACCTTAAGGACCCTAAACTATGGGAACTATGGTATATTCCTTATTATGGGGAATGCAGGATTTATATCATCAACCGTAGGGTCGGGAGCGCATTCCTTCGATGAGATCCCGGCGCGGCTGTGACAGCATGCAGCGTGGCCTGCCGCAGTTCAAAAGTCGGGAGACGAAGCCCTGAATCCTAAACCCTTACTTGGAGGGGATGGGGAATTAGTAAGTAGGTTATAAGTAGAGTTAGAAATACCCTAAATGGAGTTGCCCCAATTATAACCCCACTTACAGACGACTTACTAAGTCCCTTGCCAAGTAAGGATTGAACTTCAGGTAGATAGGGGGATGAAGCGTCTGGGCATGCCTGACCCACCGACTCCGAAACCCATGAACTAAGGCAGAAACCTCAAATAGTTCATGAAAACCCCTCCTTGATTAACTTCCCTTTGGTTAGTAGGGAGTGGCAGAATGGTAGTAATGGTAGCTTTACTTATACCCCATTCCTCCATTCCCTACTAACCAAAGGTAAGTTAAGGGGACTTCGGAGTGGCATAACCCTAAACCCTGAACCCTGAACCCTAAACCCTAAACCCTGAACCCTAAACCCTAAACCCTGAACCCTAAACCCTAAACCCTAAACCCTAAACCCTAAACCCTAAAGCCTAAACCCTAAACCCTAAACCCTAAACCCTAAACCCTAAACCCTTAAGGGGACTTCGGAGTCTTTGGGGGGTGGTAAGGCCTAAGGCTTCAAGGCGCAGAGCTTCCGAACAGACCTTGCTTGATACTGACGCACAACTACAGACGGTCTATAGTTGATATGATATAGCTGTGGCCAGAGTTACGGGCTCCGATGATCATGAGGTTGATGGTGATGATGATGAGGATGATGGTGATGTTGAGGTTCATGATAGCAAAAATGTTTATGCTGATGATGGTGATAGCAACTACGCCAGGGACTCTCCTTGGTGCCATCGTGGCTTCTAGCTGCCAGCTACTTGCATGGAGGATCGCGGGACTTAGTAAGTCGGGTTATAAGTACCTAAATTGGGGGGTATAAGTAATCGTAACTGTAGTTACCTTACTTATAACCCCAAATACTAAGTCCCACAATCCTTTAAGTAGACCCTAAACCCTAAACCCTTATAGTACCCCTATAGATTCCCTTAAAGGGGCCCCTTAAAGGAACCCCAAATACTAAGTCCCATGATCCTTTAAGTGTGGCTGCAATAGCATGCTGGACTTTTCTACGACTGCGAGGCGCCCTGGGACTGCAAGGTGCTAGAAGCCGCTAGAAGAGCCCGAAGTTGCCGATTTGGGGGGCTTCCGAAAACAGGGACCCTAATATACGGTTGATGATATAAATCCTGCATTACCTTAAGGACCCTAGACCATGGGAATTATGGGATATTCCTTATTGTGGGTAATGCAGGATTTATATCATCAACAGTAGTACACTAAATAGTAGGATCCTGTATAGATCCCTTAAAGAAACCCGACAGATCCCTACAGGTCTCTCTAAAGGGGCCCCCTAACAGAACCCTAAACCCTAAACCCTAACATAGTACCCTAAATAGTAGGATCCTTAGTAAGAACCCCCCAAAATCAGGTCTACAAGACGACAGGGATGATGCTCTTACGGAAGTGGGGTTCAGCTGAGTTCTGAGAAGGGCCGCCAAGTTGAGGTGCTATACTTTAAGGGGCCTTAATACTTAGAATAGGGTTCCCTTTCAAGGGGTCTATAAGGGCTACTATAAGAAATCTATAAGGGTACTACAATTATAAATATAGGGGCCTTAGTACTTAGAATACGGCTTTGGGGCCATTACTCCATAATTATAATGAGGAGCCCCCCCCCAAAAAAAGCGCTCGTAACTATTTAGGCCCGTAGTAACCCAGCCTTGTTCAAGGTCTGGTTGTTATGCTCTGCAAGCAGCAGGGTGGCATAGCCTCGGACCAAGCGTGCGCAATGGTTGAGGGCCTGTGGAGGACTCGTACTAATTATGGCCGAAATGGGGATCATGGCATGTTCCTTATTATTCTGAACGGCCTAAGGTTTAGGCCAAGGCGAGTCCAGCCAGCTTCTAGCCCTCGGGCAGAAACTCAAAAGGGCAAATCTCGCCTGGATTGAGTTGCAGCTAGCGTCTCGAGGTCTTGTGCAGTAGCTTGTAGCAGCACCTGATATCAGCTCCGCTGGGACCCCAAGACATGGATGCGCTCCATCGGTGCTGCTTCTGGAACACTCTCCAGCACTTGTTGAACCGATCTCTGTAGCCTCTGTCAAAAGGCGGCAGCAATCGCTGCAAGTCCTCGACGCTCTAGGCAGCATTGGACTCGAATCGGACCCGCTTGCGCTTCGCCGAAGATGCAGACGAAGCAGAAGGCCGAGCCCGCCGGCGGATCCTTGCCACAGCTCTGGTCAGCACCGCCAAGGGTTTAGGGTCTACTTATTCCGGACAGTGAAAGGGCTCCAGAAGTTGGGGGCCTCGACAAAAGAACTGGGACTTGAAACCCATGAAATACCGACCGGCTCAGATGATTAACCTATTCTATCTATCAAGGCCGCCGCAGTGCGAAGGGGGGTCCCTATCTTCTTGGTTCCAGAAGAAGGACCGAAAAGGCACAAACCCTAGCACCCTAGTTAAAATCCAAAAGAACCCTTCTAGTAACGTTTCTAGATCTGTTATAGAACTCTTCTAGCCCCGTACACTAACCCGTACAGTAGCTCTGAATCAAACAAACAAACTCAGAAGCCCTTCTTCGAAGAGGCCTCCACAAGCCCTCTAAGCCGAAGCCACGCAAAATCATGCTTCTAAAACCCCAGGAGACCCTAAACCCTAAACGGCCCTAGGAGGCCCGAAACCATGAACCAGAAACGGTTTAGGGTTTAGGGTTGAGGGTTTAGGGTTTAACCCCTGAGCCACAGACCCGAAACCCAAACCCAAACCCAAGCCGAACACTCGGAGGCCTCAGAAGGCGGGATGAAGGTAGGCAGGATGAAGGATCCACTATATAAGGACTCCTACTTGGGAATCTCCGACCAAGGGTCAATGATATAAATCCTGCATGACCTTAATGACCCTAGACTATGGGCATTGTGGTATCATCCTTATTATGGGCAATGTAAGATTTATAGCATCAACCGTACCTTCATCCCACCTTTGGAGCCCAACCCTAAACCCTAAGCCCTATAAACCCGAAACCCTAAGCCCTATAAACCCGAAACCCTCAGCCCTAAACCCTAAACCCTAAGCCTCTACACCCTAAACCCACCTTTGGAGCCCTTTGAAACACCCACCAAGCCCCGCCTCGCAATCGCGGCACCGCCACTGAGCCGACGCGGCGCAGGCCCAAGCAGGCCATCACCCCTGGAATTCAGGGCTTCTAGGCTGTTCAGTAACCCACTGGGAAAAGGTATATAATTACTTTTTTAGGCTTCTTATTTTATAATAGGAACCCAGAAACCTGAAAGTAAAAAAGTGTACCGCTGAACAGCCGGGGCTTTGTAGGGCTGTCTGAGGTTTAGGGTTTGGGATTTAGAGTTTAAGGTTCAGGCTTCGGGGTTTAGGGTTTAAGGGCTCAGAGTTTTCGGGTTTGGGGTTTAAGGGTTACGGGTTTAGGGGTTCAGGGGTTTAGGGTTCAGTATGGAGCTTTATCGCGGTTTCTATAGGGTTTCTGTAGACTTCTTTAGGGTTGCCTGGGACTTGTATAGGTGTTTGACATTGTTTTTCTAGTCTTGACAATGTTTCCGTATCAAAGGTTGAGGGTGTTCAGAGTTCCAGGACACTTTTGGCTCTTTTGGCTTTAGTCTTCTTAGGAACGTGCACCACAAGGGACTGGTGTGTAGGCATGTTAACGCCGAGTCCTTCCTTACTGCGAGACTGTTACTCGAGAACGCTTCAGTCATGACTAATGTAGGAACCTGATTAAGAAACCTTGGGCCTTTATTAGGGTCCCTTATACGAATCCTACTATTTTGGGGTTCTAGACCCAGGGTTTCTTGATCAGGTTCCTACATGGGAGTTTCCGAAACAGGGAACCCTAATATAGTACCCCAAATAGTAGGATCCTTATTTTAAGGACCCCCAAATGAGGTACCCCTAATTTTCGGAAACTCCCACATTAATCAGTTCCAAAATCTGAACTCTTGTGAACCCCAGCCATGAGTGTAAACTCCTTGACAGTGGACTTCCTTTGAACGCCACGGCGCTCAAAACGGAGCAAACCCTAAACCCTAATCCCTAAACCATAATCCCTAAACCCTACATGAAAAAAGACTGTTATCTTAGAGCAGAGAACGTGTTGGAGGAGCTGTGCTTTCGTGGAAAACGGTTAAACTCACTGGCCCAAAACCCAAGGAAGTGAAAGTTGAAACTTTCAGAATCGACTCCCTTATACGAACCCCAGAAGTTGAAAAGTTGAGTTTACAGCCAATAGGTAAGTGCTGAACGCACAAACCCGAAAAAAGACTGGAGCCTTGATTGTTAGAACAGGGCTTCAGTGCACGCGGGATACCACCACATATCGTTCCGACCTCTATGCTCATGACCCCACAGGCAAAACCCAACAACCTGAACTCTGGGTGAAACCCTAAACCCTGAACCCTAAACCCGAAACCCTAAACCCTAAACCCTAACCCCTAAACCCGAAACCCTAAACCCTAAACCCTAAACCCTAAGCCCGGAAACCCAGACACTAAAACGCGAAACCCCGAACTCTAAACCCGAAGCTCGAAACCTTAGACTCTAAACCCCAAGCCCCCAGCACTAAACCCGAAACCCCCAAACCCCGCCTTTGGACACGGGAGGTGGCTGCAGATGGACGGGAGGAGTGCACTGAGCCGAAAGCAGGTGTAAGACTGGAAGACTGGAGTTAGGGCCTTTCGGATATGGGTTTTCGGGCTTAGGGTTTATGGCTTTTAGAGAAGTAGCTTAGGGTTTATGGTGTAGGACTGGGCTTAGGGTTTTTCGGATTTGGGCTGGGCTTATGGCCTTTACGAAAGTAGGTGTAGGATTGGGGTTAGGGCTGTTGGGATTTGGGTTTTTGGCTTGTAGGGATTGAATTTCAATACAGTTACGGCTAGCGCAGGTATAGCAAAATTGCAAATGTCTGCAATACCTGCCATTCTAGCCATCTTGTTGGAACTGCGGTCCCTATCTCCTTTTCTCCAAGTAAAGGAAGCAAAAACTATTGCCGAATGACCATGTCTGCCCTTGTCATGTAATAAGGCGGAGAATCAGCTCCGGATCGTACACGCCGCAAGCATAACATGCAGTCAAAGAAGGGTCAGCTTGACCGCTGTGGGCCTCGACTACTTGGAGGGGCAGGGGACTTAGTAAGTAGGTTATAAGTAGAGCTATAAGTACCTTAAATGGAGTTACCCCAATTATAACCCTACTTATAACCTACTTACTAAATCCCTAAACCCTAAACCCCATAGATCCCTTTTAAGGAACCCTATAGATCCCTTTAAGGAGCCCTTACTAAGTCCCCTGCCCTTCCAAGTAGGGTTTCGAGTTCAGGCCTTCGGGCTTCGGCATTTTAGGCTATCGGGCTTAGGGTCTACTTGGAGGATCATGGGACTTAGTAAGTAGGGTTCCTTAAAGGGTTCCTTAAAAGGGATCTTTAAGGGGTACCATAAGGGTTCAGGGTTTAAGGATCATGGGACTTAGTAAGTAGGGTTGTAAGTACCTTAATTGGGGTTATAAGTAACTATAACTGTAGTTACTTTACTTGTAACCCCAATTACTAAGTCGCATGATCCTTTATGAAGCCTCCTAAACCCTTATAGTACCCTTATAGATTCCCTTAAAGGGACCCCTTAAAGGAACCCCAATAGGTCCTGCGAGTTTAACGTGCCCTTTCCGTCCCGCAAATTGGATAACAAGCCATGGGCCCAAATAGTCAAAAACTATTTGGAGGAGACATCGCAGTAGAAGACGAGGATGGTCCGTGGTTGAGTGTAATAATTATGCCCCGCCGAAACCCAGGTTGCATAGGAGCAGAAATTCATGGAAAAAGGACTGAAGAATCTCTCTCTCAAACTGGAAACGGAAGAACTTTTCTCCGCACGGGCCGCACGAAGTCGGAAACTTTGCGCTGACCGTCAAGTCAATGCCCGTGATCCCCTCCCCGCACCGTCAGGCATCCCTGACGGCATCCCCAGGGAATTGCGCTGCAATCCCGTCAGACCTAGAGAAAAAACATCATGAACGTCAGAATCAAAAAACATGCCTGTCAATGCAAGCGGTAGTACCTATCATCGGCACAGGCTCCGGTGACTCCTGCGGGTCTAGTACCAAAGGCAAAAAAACAACTATACTTCGTCTGCCCGTAAGCGAGTGGTTGCCATGGAAGTGAGACCATGTGAAAACAGGCGACGACCTGTCAGTAGCTCTCACTTGGATGTCAACAACGCACGGCGTTCCTGCAGAAGGCCAAAAGCCCGAAGCGCATTGGCCCTCGTTTCGAATCGCATGCTTTCGTTCGAAAGCCGGCAAAACCAAACCTAAACGTTAGATTCTAAAGCTGATGAACTATGCCGGTGGATGCACAGCGACAGAATAGTTGTAGTGGCACCAGTCATTGCAGTGACATTAGACAGAGCGTTGGAACTCGCAATACTTCCTGCATACACGTCAGGCAGATTTGAAGACCGAATCGGAAGAATGGAAACCTGCTCAGGGAAATTCGAGGTATACGTTAGGAGGTTGTCCCTGTTCCAGAGTCCACAACCATTTCTGTCACAAAGCGCAAATCGTCCCGACGTGCATGCATGCATGCAAGCATGCATGCATAGCACACATACCATCCACACCGTACACACGACTGTCACGATACATACCAAAATATATACATACATAAGGGTGGGTATATACGTATACATGTACACATACACATACATATGCACACACATGTACACAATGTATACGTTGTCGACATTGTCTCTATCTATATGTACATACATATATATATATATATATATGTGCGTGGTGTGTAAACATTAAACATAGAGAGAGAGAGAGAGAGAGAGAGAGATTGTGTGTGTGTGTATGTGTGCATAAACCTCTGTGTGTGTGTGTTTGCGTGCGCAGACCCAAACAGATGGAGACAGACAGAACTGTGTAGATAGATAGACAGATGGGCAGATAGACAGACGGATGGGCAGGTATCTGTGGGTGGGTGTGTTGTATGCATGCATATGGCATGCGAGTGCTGCTTTGCTTAAACTGTTCGTGAAACTTAGACACAACATACCCGCACAGTTAGATACGCTTATGCACGATGCATGCCTGCATGCATGTACATGTCTATGTACACTCGCATGAAAATGGCATGTACTTGTGCATGCATGTACACAAAAACAAGTGCACCGGTTTCCGAGGCAAGCACACAAATCTCAGAGCTTTAATGCCACAACAACCAGTGATTCCATCTTCGCGCCCTCAAAGCCTAAACCCTAAACCCCTAAACCCCTTGACCCCTAAACCCCTTAACCCCTAAGCCCCTAAACCCTCAACCTCCAAACCTGAATCCTGAACCCCTAAACCCCTCCATACCCAAACTCTCCTTCTCCAGCTCCTTCTCGATCCCTTATAAATCCATCTAAAGGAACCCGTATAGATCCCTTTAAAGGAAGCCTGAGTACCCACACTCTCCTTCTCCAGCTCCTGGATCTTCGCTTTTAAGGCCAGGCGAACCGTTTCGCTTCCTGGGGATGCGGTGTCTTATCTTGTCTGGAAGCTTGGGCACATGTCTGTGTATGGGGCTGTGGCTAGGTTTAGGGGTTTAGGGTTAGGGATTTAGAGCTAGGGTTTAGGGTTTAGGCTAGGAGTTAGGGGTTAGTTGTATGGGTTTAGGGTGTTGTAGGGATTGGGGCTTGAGGGTATAAGGCTTAGCCCATGATTTCGTCTTGCGGGGCACTAGAGTTTCGAGGTGATGGCCAGGTACTGTTCACATTTCCTCTCAATCGTAGACACATCAACATTGTGACAGCTACTGCGATGACTCTCTGTCTAAGAAGTAATACTATGCCATTCGGTAGCAGGTAGCAGCAGTTGCCGGCGTTGTCGTCGTCGCCCTGGTCGTAGTCGTAGACGTAGACATACTCGTAGGAGTAGTAGTAGCAGTGGTCGCCTTTGTCGTCGCAGTGTTTGGAGCAGTAGCAGCAGCGTCGGCAGCGGTTGTAGCAGCAGGCGTAGTGACGGCAATCTTGTAGTGACAGCATCAGCAAGGATCTTTCATCCTAAAGCCTCCCCAGCCATCGGCGGCCTGAAATCCCCACCACACATCAGGGCACTCTGCGTTTAAAAGTTTAGGGTCTGGTTGTGAGTCTTGGACGGCTTGGAGTTTGTGGTTTGATTTTGGGGTCCAAACGTGAATCCAACAATCTCCCTCCTAAACCTGCACGCCTAAGGAGCGAAACCCCAAAGAAGCCCTGAGCCCTAAACCCTGAACCGCTCCGCCCGCCAGCCTGTGCCGAGAGAGGCCAAGTAATTCCCGGCATCTGGGACCTCCGCGAGTGCTGGAGGAAACCAAGCCCTAGACCCTAAACCAAGCAATAAACGATAAACCCTAAACCCCAAACCAGGCCCTAAACCCTAAACCCTAAACCAAGCCCTAAACCCTAAACCCTAAACCCAATGCCAAGCGTGAGGGGGGTCCGGCGTGTGCTCATGTCCAATCTTAGGCTATACTGAACTTAGAACCCTAGCAAAAACTATAATTTTAGCTGTTTCTTAGGGATTATAATAACCAAAAATTAAAAATTATTTCTAAGTACCCCTAAGGTTTAAGGTTTAGGGTTACTCTAAGCGAATTAAGGGTTCCTTTAAAGGGCTCTATAAGGGAGCCCTTATAGGGATCTATAAGGGGTTTTAGGGTTTTCGGGCTTAGGGTTTAGAGTTTTAGGGTTCAGGGTTTAGGGTTTAGGGTGGCCTCGCTATCTGCTCAAGAACGCAAAACGAAGGCCTCTCTCCTTGTAACATCGGCCCACTTTGAGGGTCTTCTCTATTGATTTCGGGGGGAGCCATCTCGGGTTTCAGGAATTAGGGGTACCTTATTCTGGGGTCATTATAACAAGAAGCCTACTATTTGGGGTACTATATTATGGTCCCCTATTTTTGGAAACTCCTGGTTTCAGGAATACTACGGTTCAGGTCACCAGACCCCAATCAAAGAACCTCACGACCGCGGTTCACAAGAGCGTAAAGGCCCTACTTGTCCAGTAGCATGGGGTTTAGGGTTTAGGGTTTAAGGTTTGGGATTTTCTAGGGATTATAGTACCCAAAAAAGGTCAAAGGTCACCTACTCTACTACTAAGAGGCCGTGCCAAAACTCTGAAGCCCTAAACACAGCTTAGTATCAAGGCCTGCACCCTGAGGAAGGATAACGATAATCCTTGAGGCCCCTGTATATCTGTGCGGATCAGGCTTTAGGGTTTACAGGGAACTCCAGAAAGTTGGAATATGGTTTCATGGCAGGATACCCTATAATTTACCTTAAAGGGAGTATGATAATGATATTCCAACTTTCTGGCTTCTACTGTAGGGCTTGGGGGGTCTACGTCTCCCCCTAGTCTCTTGCTCCTATTTTTGAGCGACCAAGCAGATCTCCAGCTCTTGAAAAACGAGCTTACACAGGAGTAACTACTAAAAGGATCATGGGACTTAGTAACTTGAAGGGCTCCTTAAAGCGTTTCCTTAAAGGGTTCGACGAGAAATCTATATGAGTTTAGGGTTTTGGGATCATGGGACTAAGTAACTACACTTATACGTAAGGTAACGGCAGTTATAACTACGATTGACCCCAAAAAAGGTACTTATAACCTTGCTGACTAAGTCTCATGATCCTGCAAGTAGCCATGCTCCAAACCAAAGGCGTTTTGGGATCTGGGTTCCAGGCTTTCCACCCCCATTGGGAAGCAGGAGGGTCTACTTGCAACCCTGCTGGTGTATCATCTGGCCTAAAGGGTTTTGGGTTCAAGGCACAAGGGCTTGGGGTTCAGGAGTTGTAGGTTGGGGACTGGGGCACTGCAGCTTCTTGTCTGGAAATGCTGCACCAGGGTTTGGGTAAGAAAGACCTTGCTTCAACCTCGACGACTATTCTTAGTATCCTTTTTACAGCAAAATATGTGTTCATCTACATTGAGCTCAACCCGAAACCATGCACCCTAAACCCTAAACCCCAAACCCTCGACCCTAAACCCTCTAAACCATGAACCCTATAAACCCTATAAACCCTATAAACCCTATAAACCCTATAAACCCTATAAACCCTATAAACCCTATAAACCCTATAAGCCCTATAAACCCAAAAAGCCCTGCAAACCCAAAAAGCCCTGAGCTCCAAGCCCTCGACTGAAACTTGCAGGCCCCCAGCCGTAAACACTACCGACATGAACCTGATCCGGCGGGCCTTCTGGACCTGGAACCACACGCCGTCCTGAGTTTGGGTATGTGTTGTAGGTTTAGGGTCTAGGGCTAGGGACTTGAGGGTGGATAAGCTGATGGGATTACGGTTGAGGGCTTAAATGTGTACTTGGAGGATCATGGGACTCAGCAAGTAAGGCTATAAGTAGAGTCAAGCATTATTATAGCTGTAGTTACCTTACTTTTGTCCCCAATCCTTTAAGTAGGGCTCAGGGAACGGAAACAGTCGACTCTGTATCATGATGGCTGGAACCCTAATTTAAGACGCAATTGGGATCTGAGTTGCGAATCCCCATACGACTTATACCCTGAGCCCCTTACACCCTAGACAGTTCATCCTCAGAGCATAGTTCTCTATAGGACCGCTGCGTCTCGCAACTTTGCAACCTTCACCTTACAAAGTCACTTAAACCAAAAAACCACAAGAAGGATATCACAATGCATGACATACTGCAGACCGCAAAGACCCCAAACCCTTTGTGGACGTCGACGCCCGAGCCTCTGAAGACTCCGAGGACGCATTGAGCACTCCAGATATGCTGACATGTGTATGCAGGAGCTGCAGGAGCTACTTATTTGGGGTTATAAGTAAGGTAGAAACAGTTATAATTACTTATAACCACCATTTAGATACTTAAAACCCAAGTCCCATAATCCTCCAAGGAGAGCCAGGAGCCTTCAAATTGACCGTCCCCCTAGGCTGGCATTCGGTTGGTGCTGCTGGGGTCCGATCGGTTGATGATATAAATCCTGCATTACCTTAAGGAGCCTAAACTGTGGGAATTATGGTATATTCCTGATTTTATGTGTAATGCAGGATTTATATCATCAACCGTAGTGACGAGATGGTTCGAACAGGCTTGGGTGACCAATTGATAGAAACTTTCAACATCCCTGGCCACTCAACCCGACCCAGAACCGTAGGCCCTGGCTGCATGTATCTGCTCTTTCGATTGGTACCTTTCCTTGTTCTGCGCACCTGCAATGGACCGGCAAATACGCCGTCAATCGTAGCGTCGTAGCACAGCATCAGACCCGGCGTTCCTGGTTTTGGTTGTGGGGCTTACAACTTTGGGGTTGTTTAGGGTTTAACAAACTCATTCACTCACTGACTCGCATAAGGGTGTCCCGCACGTCCAATGCAAAGCGAGTACGACCGAAAAGCGTAAACCCTAAAAATCCTAAACCCGAAACCCAAAAATCCTCGACACCCTGAGCGCTACAACGACAACCCTAAACCCGAAACCCTAAAAGCCTTAAAATCCAATCACCATGATATCCTAACACCCTAAACCCCGAACCCTCAAAACCGGCTATGAATGCAAAAACCCTGAACCTTCCCAAAGCCTACTACGGTTGATGGTATAAATCCTGCATGACCTCAAGGACCCTAAACTATGGGAATTATGGTATACTCCTTATTATGGATAATGCAGGATTTATATCATCAACCCTAGTCCCTAAACCCCCTATAGATCCCTTAAAGGAACCCCTTAAAGGTACCCTCATAGATCCCTTAAAAGGAACCCTAGGATTTATATCATCAACCGTATGAACCCAACTTGGCCCGGTCGGTCCAAGGCTGCGGCGCCCATCTCGCGAAGCTCGGCGATGGCGGCGCGGGCTGCCTGAACAACGCCGTCTAAACACAAGGGTTTAGGGTTCAAGGTTTAGGGTTTGAGGTTTAGGGTTTAAGGTTTAGGGTTCAAGGTTTAGGGTTTTTTTTAAGGGCCTATTTTCCGTCTGCACAAGAGTCTATGCTACGAACAGCCCACAAGGTTTAGGGTTTACGGTTTAGGGTTTCCAGCAGCAGTCCCTTCAAAAAAGATTCGGGTTTTCGGGGGTATGTTATAGTGTAGACAAATAAAGGGGCGGTAACAGTGTACTATTGCTGAGAACTCTGACCCCTAATCCCTAAACCTCAAACCCCAAACCCTACATGGAGGGGCAGGGGACTTAGTAAGTAGGTTATAAGCACGGTTATAATTGGGGCAACTCCATTTAGGGTACTCATAACTCTGCTTATAACCTACTTACTAAGTCTCCTGCCCCTCCAAGTAAACCCTAAACGCCTAAACCCTAAAACCCTGAACCCAAAACCCTAAACCCGAAACCCAAACCCTAAACCCCTAAGTCCCCTGCCGCTCCAAGTACTCTGTGCAAATTAAGATGGGATGCGCAAAAGGGGGTTTTAAGATTCCTGGGCTAGGGATTCCTTAATATGAACCCCATTATGGGAACCCTAATCCCTACTAAACCCCCATAGGCTAAAACCCCTTTGGGCCTCCTATGAAATTATGAGGGCTCGGGCTGGCTTTGCAGGCCTCTGGCTGGGTGCAGACGCGGTGGCCAAGTAGCGTTCTTATTCCCAGAAACTCCTAAAATCCATTTAAAGGGATCTCTAAAAATTCCTTTAAAGGGGGTTCCGAAAAGGGATCTATAAAGTCTAGGGTTTCGGAGACGAATGCTCCTCCAATCATAACAAGGATCCTAGTATAATTTCAGGTATGTTCCTCGATTTAGTGGTATTGGAGTCTATGGGTTCTTTTTCTGGTTCACACGAGTGCCGCATTTGAGCGCTAGTGGGTCATTAGATTTCTCCCCTCAACCCTTAACCGTCAACCCCTAAACCCCAAACTCTGAAACCCTAAAGCCCCTAAATTCAATGGAGCTCAGATGCCTCCAAGGTCATTGGATTCGAGGTCTGCTCGGCCCAAGTCCTTGAATCTCTGGTTGTCTTTGGGCTCACAGTCTTAAGGCCTTGAGGGTTTAAGGGCTTCAGATCTTTTGTTTAAGGGTTTAGGGTTGAAGGGCTTTAGGGTTTGAGGTTTAAGGGTGTAGAGTTGAAGGTTTAAGGCTTACTTCTTAGGGCTTTAAGGTTTAGGGTTTGGGGCTTGCTGGACGGTTTTAAGTAAGCTATAAGTTTGGTGATAAACACCTTAACTGGCAATCCTCATTCATATCATCATGTAACCCCACTCAGACCGAGAATACAGCCTGAAAGTAGCTTTTCTGCTTCAGTTCATCGTGGGGTTGCATAGAGCTTTGTTCGGGCTTGCCTCTACTTAAAGGATCATGGGACTTAGTAAGTAGGGCTATAAGTAAGGTAACTACAGTTATCATTTCATATAACCCCAATTAAGGTACTTATGACCCTACTTACTAAGTCCCATGGTCCTCCAAGTAGAGCTTTGTTCGGGCTTGCCTGTATTGGGTTTACAGTTTAAGGTCTTAGGGCTTCAGCCGGTTGGGGTTTAGGGTTTAGAGTTTAGGGGTCTAGGGGTCGGGGAGGGGTTTATAGGGTTTAGGTGTTAGGGTTTAGGGCCGTTTAGGGGTTCAGGTGTGGGGTTTGAGGTTTCCGGTTCTTGCAGTTTGTTTCACGGTTCAGACTTGCAAGGCTTCTGGAACATCTGCTGGCAGAGTCAATCCCTTTGCAATACAGTAAACCCCACAAAGTTGGACACCGGATTAAGGCCAAATAGTGCTGGGATTCCCTAAACATTACTCTTAAGGATTGAGGCTATGGGGTTTCCAACTTTTTGGGGCTTTTACTGTACAGGACTGGCGTAGGCATGTCTGCCGGGTTTACTCCGAAACCTGCAACCCGTGTCACAGTCGTAAGAGCTCTCAAACCCAAGTCCAAAACCGTAAACCCTAAACCCGGAACCCTAATGGGACATTACAGCTAAGATTTCTCGTGCCGGGATCTGCGGGTTCTACGGTTTCTATAAGGGCTGAAGGCATTGAGAAGGGTTTCGGGGTTAAGAGGGCGGGATGTGGGTGTTTCAGGGTTTCAGAGTTTAGGGAAACCTAACAAAGCCAATTCATCCTGCCAGCGGAAAGGGACCAAAAGACCACAAGACTCAGTCTCTGGCAGTGAGCACAGGGCCGACAGCAACTGCACGCAGCTTTCAGAACCCTTTGAGTAAGAGGTTTAAAGAGTTTTGTGAGGGTTTTTTCCCTTCCGGCAAGGCTTGAAAAGTTTGCATAGGATAATATAACTTGAAACCTATAGAGGGATACTTGTTGTAATTCATTGTATATTCTTTGGCTAAAGTGGTTTGGGGGAGCCTTGTGGCTCCATTTTGGCGAACCCCTGCCTCCTACGCCCATACTTCATTGCGGGCTTTCGTGCAAAATTGAGGGTTCCGACTGTCAGGTTCAGGGCGGCTTAGATTCTAGGATCTCGGAAAACTCGTGGTCATGTGCAAGAACCGTTGGTTTACACTGTCTGCAGACAGATGTCAGGCTGGCGGTGTTGAGCCTCAGGGTCCCTGCTGCAAAATCCGACTTACGCGAATCTAAGTCGGATATCGCCCGAAAAACGAGCGAAAGACGACACGTGGTGCTCCCTGAGCCTGCATAAGCCTCATCGCCTGCATCTAAAATCTAAAAGGATTCGACTTCGAGCAGCGCCTGAATCCTTACTGCAAGGGTTTCCGGCTTCGGCGTTTATGCTTTGAAGCTGAGTTCAACCCTTCCGCCGTCAAGCCGAAAGCCCATAGCTTCAACCGGAGATGGGAGGTTCTAAGCCCTAAACCCTAGACTGTCAATTAAACATGTCATCATGTACCTCAGCCTTGTCCCCAAGAACTTGATTTCATATGAACCAGGACGCGAAGTGAACGCCACAGGCTCTTTGAAGCTTACCCCTTTCCTGTCGCGGGATCCTAAACACATGCCATGCTCCATTGGCTTGATCATAATGCAAGGGCCTCAGTCATTAGCACGGGGCCATTAGGTATATGATATATGATAATATGGCACGTTTCCAACGAAAACTCAGAAATAAATAGTATTACTACGTACTGGAGCCCGAAGGAATACGTATAGGAACCTGATTCAGAAATCTCTGGTTCTTCATAGGGCTTTTCATACGGACACGAAACCCCAAACCGAAAAATAACCTGAACCGAATTTTAGGAATTGGGAAACACGGGCTTCTTAACACGATCCTTGCTTGAATTACCTGACCCAAATCTATCTCTCACTGTGTCTCTACATATAAGAACACGTACACGCATACATCTATCTCTCTCTCTCTCTCTCTCTCTCTCTCCCAATCTCTCAAAGGTTATAGGATCCACATATGCACTCCAAAAGGACGGCGCCCCAAACCCGAAGCCCTAAACCCCAAAACCCTAAACCCTAAACCCCTAAACCCTAAACCCTAAAATTCCAAACCCCACAGCCCTCGACCACTAGAGCGGCACGGCGGAGCCTTTCGCTCCGGGATTCGGGCCCTCTCGATCAAGTCTTTCCATGTCTTCTGGCGGCAATGTGGCGATTTAGGGTTTAGGGTTCAGGGTTTAGGGTTCAGGGCTCAGGGTTTAGGTTTAAGGGCAAATTTCGGGGAGGAAGGGGGCACTCGTCGCTTTGTTCGGGACCTTCCGGCTTCAAATTTGGATGTTGGTGTTGCGATAGCTTGGTGTGTCAAGAACCAGCAACTCCAGGTGACGCTGTCACCCGCTACTGCTCCTGCTCCTGCTACTGCTGCTACTGCACCGTGCCAACGACAAAGAAGCGGTTCGGTTCATGTTCAGAGCGATGTTGTACTGAAAGAACATACTTGACTCCGTGACAATGACAACAATGCACGTCAACGAGACATGGCGATCATGTCATCAAGCAAGTACTGAAAGCTTCAAAGGTCTCACTAGTAGAGCCGTACCGGCCTGGACGAGTCCTCCTATCAGTTGCGGCAACAATACTTTCTCCTTATGCTGACGCTCTGACGGTTGTAATACAGGGGCCTTAACTTAGAATAGGTTTTGGAGCCCATTATACAGTAAGTATAACAAGGGTCCCCCAAAATAGCACTCTTGACTATTTAGACCCCTATAGTAATTGTTGCTGCTTTCAGAAAGCCCTTGAAAACTTGCGGCCTCCTTGAATGGCGCCGGTACAGTGGCAGGCTTCTGTCGCCAGCTCGGTGCGGAGGAGGCGCGGCTGACGAAACTGGAGTCCTGGGTCAGAGCACGGTTGGTGAGGTCATGTTAAAAGAAATATCATGGCATATTATGGTATATTATAACTTAAAATCTAACATATGTTTCGTGGGATGTCCGGAGGATTTCAGTGGATCTAGGATTCTGGGTACTGCCTTGAACAACTGGCACTAATGTGCCGCCTTACACTCCGTATATGCTTACAGTATTAATGGCGTTGAAACCCTTTACGATGATTCCAGACCCCCATATTACTCAAATTTCCCAAACCCGAAATCGCCCCCGAGCCTCCAGCATCCATTACCCGAAACCTCAAACGGCTTCATTAGAGCTTGTGCTAAGCGCATGTTAAAACAATTGAATTAGCTGCAACGACAATCACACTATAACGCTCGCTGTGTTTGCCCGAATCTCGCAACTCAAATCAGGCTTCAAACTTGGACGGCTTCATATGCTACTCAACCTACTTACTACGGGTATTCCTTAGTTGGCAAGAACCCGAAAAAGGCCCGAAAGCCCACCTCGCGGCTCTTGCGTCACGATCAAAGGGTCACTACTGCTGCTGGTCCTCCGTGCTAAGTACTGACACCAGCCCAAACCAGACAGCAAGGCCCTAAATCCCTTTTACGGCCCTAAACCCCCAAGCTTCTGAGAGCCCTGCTTCTGCAACCAGAAACGCTGAACCTGACACACGAAACCCAGAAAAAAAGTCCAGAAGGCTGAAGACACCTCCCAGTTTAAGGACCCTGAGTCTGAATCTTGATATTTTGGCGTCTGATCCCCGGACCCCACAGACCCCGAGCCCTAAACCCAAAATCCCTGCAAGTTGTGGGCTTACTTTCTGGGACTTTGCTTTTCCGAGGGCTTCTGAGTTCCTATGCGGTGGCCGAAGCTGCAGCTGAGGACCAAACGAACATCTTCAACAACACCTGGCTGGAGTCGGTCTGTTGGGCTTTTAGTTTAAGTCTTGGGTTTAGGGTTTAGGGTTTAGGGTTCATATGAAGGTCTTGTAAGGTTTTATACTGTTCAGGTCTTTTTTTATTGAGAAGGCTAAGGATTTAGGGCTTAGGTTGTGCGAGGGCATACATTAAGGTTTTAGAAAGTTTCATCGGGCTTGTTGTGGCTTTACAGGACTGTAAAAAGCTTTTCAGGGACTGCCACTGCCACCACCACCAACACCCACCGCCGCCGCCACCGGGACTGCTGCTACTACTGCCACTACTCCTGCTTCTACTGCTACTGCTTCGCTTGTTGCTAGGACTGTTGTTGTTGGTATGCATAGCAGGTATATGCACAGACAGCAGCAGAGGGAGCTACTTACAGAAATTTATCTTCATCGGTAGCTGCGCACACACACACACACACACACGCTGATGCACAAGCTACATCCTCGCAATGCAAACAGGTACACCTCAGCCTCAGGACTTCTAAGAAAGCGTGCTCGGCGCGCCCACAGGGCTCTGACAGCATCTTCGCAGATTCCTGCACAAGTTGAGGAAACGTGGGGTCAGGAAAGCGCGGAGCGACGGCAACAGAAGCACCTAAGACAGAATCTAGACTCTGTAGACGTCAGGAGGAAGGGCAATGCAAAGGATGTTCAGCCCCGCATTATGGGTGGTGTATACAGGCTACTTAAAGGATCATGGGACTTAGTAATTGGGGTTATAAGTAAGGTAACTACAGTTATAATTCTTTTAACCCCAATTAAGGTACTTATAACCCTACTTACTAAGTCCCATGATCCTCCAAGTAGCAGAAGACCTCAGAAGACTGTACCGGTCTGAGGGGTCGCCAGGGATTCTAAAAGAACAGTGGCGCCAGCTACGCTTAAAGGTTGTTAATTCGGAGGCCTCAAAAGGTGGGATGAAGGTAGGTGGGATATTCCCAAATAGGAGTCCTTATACAAGGGATCCTGAATCCTACCTACCTTCATCCCACCTTTTGAGGCCTCCGATTACATCTTGTACCCAGCATCCAGGCGAATCTGCAAGCTCGAAATTCCTCCATACCAAATTCCAAGCCATCCAAAAAGAAATGAAGCCCCATCCCTAAACCCACAAACCTCAAAACTCTCAGTCACACAAAGAGCCCTTTCCCCCTTGTACAGCAAGAGGCGCCCCGGTAGTAGCCTTGTCAAACACTGCCTGTCGCACATAACCGTGGATAGACGACCATCTCCAAGCGCGCTTGCTTCATAATCCTGAAACCCCAAGCCCTGAACCCTTAAACCCTTAAACCCTTAAACCCTCAAGCCCTTAAACCCTTAATTAAACCCTTCAAGCCTCAAATCCTGAGGCTTTAAACCCTCAAACCCTTGAGCCATTCCCATCAGCCAGAGCGGTCCGATATTCTTCGTTATCTGCCGGACTTGGGCCACGTGGGTCTCCGCCTGTTTGTAGAGCTCCTGTTCCGGGCAGTTACGGTTTAGGGTATAGGGTTTTCTAATTTTTGTTGAGCTCCGTTTAACCCTAAACCGTTTAGGGTTTAGGGCCCAGGTTCTGGCCGAAAGTTCTGACCGAAGCCTTTTTGGGAACCTGATTTCGAGTTTGAGGCTGGGCGGCGGGGGGCTACAGGCTGAGGGCCGGGGTAGTGGCTGAAATTGAAGGTTTAAGGCTTAGGGGCTTTAGGGTTTAGGGCTTAGGGTTTAGGGGCTTTAGAGTTTAGGGTTTAGGGTTTACAGGGAACTCCAGAAAGTTGGAATATGGTTTCATGGTAGGATACCTTATAATTTACCATAGAAGGGTTAGGATAATCATATTCCAACTTTGTGCCTTTAACCTTAAGGGGTTCAAGGGCACAAACAAAAACACTTTCTCGTTAGCTCATTCTTGCGGGTTTAGGGTTTAGGGTTCCGGTTTCAGGGCTCGTCAGGGCTTGGGATTAAGGGAAGAGCTAGGTCGTGGGGCTTTGGGCTTAGCGGTTAAAGTTTGAGGTGCTCCCAAAGCCCTAAACCCTAAACCCTGAACCCTAAACCCTAAACCCTAAACCCTAAACCCTAAACCCTAAACCCTATACCCTAAACCCTAAACCCTAAACCCTATACCCTAAACCCTAAACCCCAAACCCTAAACCCTATACCCTAAACCCTAAACCCTAAACCTCGGGAACCCTGAACTCCCAAACCCGGAACCCTAAACTCCAATCCGAAGGGGGTGGGGGGGGGGGGGGGGTTAGGGTTTTGGGTTTAGGGTTTAGGGTTTAGGGTTTAGGGTTTTAGGGTTTAGGGTTTAGGGTTTAGGGTTTAGGGGTTTAGGGGTTTAGGGTTTAGGGTTTCACAGCACAGCTCTTGTCAAAGGATTGGGCTCTCCTGGTCCGCGGCATAGCTGTGAGAAATCAGGGGTGTAGCATAGGCAGCTCAATAATCAGAATGGAGTCTTGTAGCACATCATCTCGTAGAAATACGCCAGGGCTATGTAAGGGGATACTATTTTAAGTATACCCGGCCACACATGTTAGGTTGGGAAGCTCATTTGAGGGTGCTCACTCTTGGGAGCTTTCGTGCTCTGTCTGGGCCTCAAGTTTTGCCTCCAGGCATACCCGAAATCCCCGACCATGAAGCCCTGAAGCCTTATACCCCCCAAGCCTAAACACAGAAAAATGTCTAACTGGGTGTCTGGTAGGGTTTGGGGTTTAGGGTTGTGGCTTTGGGATTCTAGCCAGGGCACCCTAAACCCTAAACCCTAAACCCTAAGCCAGGGAGTAAGCAAACTTGATGCAACTTAGACTTTAGACCCCTGGTGGATTTGGGGTTACTGGGCCGCTTTGGGCTTAAGGCTTTAAAGATTTTGGATTAGGGATTAGGGTTTAGGGGTTTAGGGTTTAGGGTTTAGGGGTTTAGGATTTAGGGTTTAGGGGTTTAGGATTTAGGGGTTTAGGGTTTAGGGTTTAGGGTTTAGGGTTCAGGGTTTAGGGGTTTAGGATTTAGGGTTTAGGGGTTTAGGGTTTAGGGTTTAGGGGTTTAGGATTTAGGGGTTTAGGGTTTAGGGTTTAGGGTGTGTCTGGCGAGGTCGCACGCTCGGGTGTGAAGCACCCCGGGCCGCGCGCTCGAGTTGCTTGTAAACCCACCCCGGCCACCCAAACTATACTCTATTAGGGTTTAGGGTTTTTTAATTGATATTTTTGTATTCATGAACGTTCCAGTTCTTGAAGTTGTGGTTTAGGCAACGGCTGGGAGTAGCCTCGGCCGTTTTCGGGCCTTCGGCACAGCAGGGCCGGCTCGGCCCTTCAAGCTTATCGTTTGATTTGGAAACCGCAAATCCGAGAAATTCCTGGGGCCTTCGAAATAGCCTTTGGAAAAAGAGCGGGTAATACAAAATCGACCATGTTCGTGCTTTTGTAAGGTTCCCTCCATTTCGACAGCTTTGGAAGCCGGAAATCCAAGAAATCCAAAAGGCCTTGGAAATTGCCTTTGGAAAAGGAGCGGGCATTAGAAAATCGACAATTTGGGTGCTTTGCTGGGGTTCCCTGCATTTCGACAGTTCCAGTTGTTGAAGTTGTGGCTTAGGCAACGGCTGGGAGTAGCCTCGGCCCTTTTCGGGCCTTCGGCATGGCAGGGCCGGCTCGGCCCTTCAAGCTTATCGTTTGACAGCTTTGCAAATCCAAGAAATCCTAGGGCCTTCGAAATAGCCTTTGGAAAAGGAGCGGGTATTACAAAATCGACCATGTTCGTGCTTTTGTCAGGTTCCCTGCATTTCGACAGCTTTGGAAGCCGGAAATCCAAGAAATCCAAAAGGTCTTGGAAATTGCCTTTGGAAAAGGAGCGGGCATTACAAAATCGACAATTTGGCTGCTTTGCTGGGGTTCCCTGCATTTCGACAGCTTCGGAAGCTTGAAATGCAAGAAATCCAAGGAGCCTTGGAAATGGCCTGTGGGAAAGGAGCGGGTGTTACAAGATCGACCATTCTCGTGCTTCTGTAGGGTTCCCTCCAGACAGCTTCGGAAGCCGGAAATCCAAGAAATCCAAGGAGCTTAAATCCTAAACACTAAATCGGAAATCCTAAATCCTAAACCCTAAATCCTAAATCCTAAATCCTAAATCCTAAACTTTAAACCCTAGATCCTAAATCCTAAACCCTAAATCCTAAATCCTAAATCTAGACTTTAGAGCTGGTTGTCCTTTTCCGAAAAGGACAAGCGCGACTAAGCATTGAAAATCGGAAGTTTAAGAGCAGCCACACGAAAAGAAAGGAGGGGACCTCGAGATTCGCAACCGGCCTTGTCTAAAAGGCACATTTTATGAACAGAATTTGCCACTTGAAACTCACGAACAAAATCCAAATTTCCGAGGCTTAATCCTAAATCCTAAACCCTAAATCCTAGAAACCTAAACCCTAAATCCTAAACCCTAAGTCCTAGAATCCTAAACCCTAAATCCTAAACCCTAAACCCTAGAATCCTAAATCCTAAAATCCTAAACCCTAAACCCTAGAATCCTAAACCCTAAATCCTAAACCCTAAATCCTAGAATCCTAAACCCTAAATCCTAGAATCCTAAGTCCTAAACCCTAAACCCTAGGATCCTAAACCCTAAATCTTAAACCCTAAATCCTAGAATCCTAAACCCTAGAATCCTAAACCCTAGAATCCTAAATCCTAGAATCCTAAACCCTAAATCCTAAAATCCTAGAATCCTAAACCCTAAATCCTAAACCCTAAACCCTAGAATCCTAAATCCTAAAATCCTAAACCCTAAACCCTAGAATCCTAAACCCTAAATCCTAAACCCTAAATCCTAGAATCCTAAACCCTAAATCCCAGAATCCTAAGTCCTAAACCCTAAACCCTAGAATCCTAAACCCTAAATCCTAAACCCTAAATCCTAGAATCCCAAACCCTAGAATCCTAAACCCTAAACTTTAGAATCCTAAATCCTAGAATCCTAAACCCTAAATCCTAAAATCCTAGAATCCTAAACCCTAAATCCTGAATCCTAAGCGCCCTCCAGAGTCAATGGTGCACGATTTGGGGTTACTCTTTAGCTACGCTAAAGGTGGTCTGGATACGGCCAGCCCTTAATTGAGTTCGGACGTTGTCGTAAACAAGGCCACATTCGTTGGCCTGTCCAGGACAGGCGGCGAGGCTTAACCCTCGCCTTTCCGTCTCTCTTTCCGTATGGGCGCTCGGGCTGTGAGGCCCTCGGCCAAGCGTTCGGGGTCTGTCGCTCGACGTCTGCGACCCCTCTCTTAGTTTAGGGTTTAGGGGTGGGCTGGGGATTTCAGGCTTTACGGCTCACTTGATGGAGCTTAGAGTCCATACTTCATGTTCGAGCCCCCATCCTGCAATCCAACAACACGACCCACGCCCCAAATAAAACTGAAAACGCCGAAAACACCCTGATCCATTGGTCCGTAACTACACCCGAAACCCGTATACCCCAAACCATAAACCCTGCACCCTAAACCTTACACTCTGAACCCTGACCCCTGAACCGCACACCCAAAGCCCTGAACCCTGAACCCCAAAACCCCCGACACCCTAGGCCCTAAAACCTAAACCCTACACTCCTACACCCCAAACCCTAAATCTAAACCCTACAATGCACCCTAAGCCCTAAGCCCCAAACTAAACCCCTCCGCCCACCAAAAAAGAACGAAAGGAACACGCCCGAACACCCGACGGCACCTCCTTGGCCTTCACTCGGCGCCTCAACGCCTCACGGAGACTCGGGCCCTGGGCCTCTTGCAATCGTAATGAGCAACTGCTCATGTGCAAAATCCTGCATTACTCTTTATAAGGAATATACCACATTTCCCATCGTTTAGAGTCCTTAGGGTCGTGCAGGATTTCGTCCATCTGCAGAATGACACTGATCAATTCAGTAAGGTCCAGACGAATTACTACAAAAGGATACGGAATACTACAAGGGGGTACTAGGGTTGCGGTTGGAGTATATAGTACAATCTTTAGTAGGGACTATAAGGGGTACTACATGAGCTACTTTAAGGGTGTGGCATACTTGGTAGGGGATGTTAAGCTTCATGGCTGAAGTAGGGTTTCGGGGGTTGGGGCCTGCTCGAAGTCACAGAATGCTGACAAGACCACAGAATGCTGACAAGACTCTCCTCGCGCCCAATCTGCCCGATCCATGTTGGGATTCCGTTCGCTCGGGTGCTCTGCCATGAGCAAGTGCTTCTATTTTTGAAGACATCAGCCATGCCTAGGGATTCGTCTCCTCGTTTTGACCCACCTTGATGCTCAGTTCGAGGGTGCAGAAGCCTTCGTTTTTCATCTGAAGGCTGCGGCGTACTGTTGATGATATAAATCCTACATGACCTTAAGGACCCTAAACTATGGGAATTATGGCATATTCCTTATTATGGGTAATGCAGGATTTATACCATTAACCGTAGGACTCTCCTCGAGGACTTGGGTGCGAAGCGAGCGACGCCATGGAGTGCGAGGAGTCCCTTTCCATCTGTCCACCCTGTACTTGGAGGATCGCGGGACTTAGTAACTAAGTAGGGTTACAAGTCTCTTAATTCGGGATATAGGTACTTATAGCTGTAGTTACCTTACTTCTAACCCCAATTACTACGTCTTATGAGTCTTATGATCGTTGAAGTACTGCACTGGCGATGCTCGGAAAATGCTCCTAGAGGAAGCCGACCGCCTTATTGGCATGTGACTGCCCTAAGCCTGAAACCCCGAACCACATGTAGTGCCTAAAAAAGTACACTGGACGTCAGTCGCGGACGAGTACAGACCGCAGCGGTCCATCGTCGATATCGTCGCGTAGTTCACCTAGAACCGCTTTAGAGAAGTACATGCTGTCAATCTCTGCTTCAACAGGAAGCCCCAAAATAACGTGAAGGCCTTCTGCATGTTAAAGAGAAGAAAACCGAAACTTGCAAAAGTTCTCTCATTAGTTTACACAAGTTCAACTGTGCACAGTATTGAGTTGATACAACCGATCCCTTCACCCATAATCCCAAACACCGAGGCTCTAGAGCCCTATATCCTAAACCCAACACTACCCTTAAAATCTTAAGCCCTAATATCCTACATCCGAAAACCTACGCCCTGGGGAGGCACCAAACCCGGTCCACGCGGGCCTCGAAACGTTCTGCGGGCGTACCTGAACGGCTGCATCAGGACAACTTCAATTCTTTTTTCGGTTTAGGGTTCAGGGTCTAGGGTCCAGGGTCCAGGGTTTGGGGTTTAGGATTAAGGGTTTAGGGTTTGGACCTCAACTAGATTTGGAGGTTTGGGGTTTAAGGAGGTGGCATTGGGAATTCAGTTCCTCATACAGAGATCCTAACCCAAGCAGTGCTTGCCTTCTTGGGTGAGGGTTTTACGGCGTAGCGTTTAGGTATGTTGAACACATGGAAGTATTCGGGCTTAGGGCCTCATTGTGCAGGTCCTGGCTTGTTTCGGATGTAGTATAGGGGCCTAAATAATTCGAACAGGGTTTACAATTAGGAACCCCAAATAGTATAGATATTCTTAAGGCCCCCATGTTACAGCAGGAGCAAGCTTGGGGTGGAGGGGAGTCTGGCTCAGTTTGAAGGCCATAGCCGGCACTTTAACTGCAGGGTACCTGGGTTTGGGGTGTAGGGTTTGAAAAGTTTGGGGTTTCGGGTTTTAGGGCTTCGGGTTTCAAGGTTTAGGGTTTTTAGGTTTAGGGTTTTAGAGTTTCGGGTGTTGGGCCTAGGTGAGCCTTGACGGGGCAACAGGAGCGGGAGGTTCGGATGAGCGGCCACCGCGGCAAAGAGTTCACCGCTGCCTCGTGTTGCATTAACCCCTGGAACCGAAAACTCGGAAAACGAGGGCCAGCCGCCGTTCTGCCATATGGGTAGTTGTCAAAATTAGGGTCCCTTCTTGACTTGCCGTAGTATGCTAAGGACCCTTTTCCCTTTTGATTCTTGAGAGAACGAAGCCTTGGCCCGGAGGGAGCAGCGGCGGCAGCAGCGACATGTCGATGTCCTGGAGAACCGGCTCTGAACTACCAGACTGACAATGGGAAGAAGAAGACTGATAGTAACAATACTAGTAGCCATAATAATAGTAAGAAGAAGAAGAAGATGAATGATAGTAATAGTACCAAGAGTCGAAGTAGTAACCATAGTTCTACTAAGAATAAGAACGTTGAAACTACCAGACTGACTGGTGTGCTACTCAACCCCCGAAGATGTAAGCCCAAATCCCCTGAACCGTAGGTTTGGGGCTTGAGCAGGGCCTCGGCTGGGCTTGAGGCTTGGGCTTCAGGCTTTGCTGAAAAAGCCTGGAGACTCTGGACGAGGGAGGTGAAGTTTCGGAGTGAGTCAGGCCCAGAAGCTCAAGGGCATCGGACATCACAACAAGATTCTGGGCTCGGCCTCTCTGCGCACAGAGCTGGAAACAGGCCAAGTTCTAGGGCATACTCTGTGAGAAGTCGAGATTGCACATCCCCCACAGTGCGATGCAAACCTGCTGCAAAAAAAAACACCATAACTCAAAGCTCTAGACCCTAAGCCCGAGACCCGAAGCTAGGCAAGCACTGTACATCCTAAACGCCGTTTCTAACCCGCATGCTGCGAGTGGGAATGCTGAGTTTGCAGAGCGCAAGATTCCTGGAGCCCAAACACGCTTAACCAAGCAATGTACCTTTAGTTAGATTCCTTGTCTTATAGGGGCAAGGCGACAGACGAAGCCGACCAAGTTCGAAGCTTTGCGACCATTGCGGGGCCTAGTGCTATGGCCGTGCTCATAACTGGCGTCGTAGAATGTCCTCCTACCCCTGCCTTCTATGTCCTAAACCTGAACAGACTAACAACACTGAACACCAAGAGCCGTCTTTAATATAACTCCAAAAGACAAGCTCAAGCCCTTGCATAAACCTTCATTATTTGGACGTGTTCGGCATCAAAGCCATGTAAACCCTAAACCCTTAACCCCAAACCCTAAACCCTTAACCCCAAACCCTAAATCCTAACCCCCAAACCCTAAACCCTAAACCCCAAACCCTAAACCCCAAAAACTCCCGTGGCCTGGACAGGAGGAAGGTCGGGCTTCTCCAGCAGCTTCCGAGGGGGCGGCGCCTCCTCAGCTCACATCTGGTTTCCCAGGGACTCTAATATCCCTTAGGGTTTAGGTTTTAGGGTTTAGGTGGTTTAGCGTTTCGGGTTTAGGGTTCCTTTACTGGTTCCTATAAGGGATCTACAGGGTTAAGGGTTTCGGAAACTCCAATATCCCTTAATTAAGGAATATTCCTTCAATCATATCCGAGATCCTACTACAAGTTAAGGTAGATTCCTTAATTTTGGGATATTGGAGTCTCTGGGTTATGGGATTTTGGAATCTACAGCCTGTCCTCGTTTTGACATTTCAGGCACGAGGGGTTAGTTTAATGTTTGGGTTTGATTTGGGATTCGGGGTTTAGCAAGACCAGGCCCTACACCATACAAGACCCCACACAAGATCTGTATGGGAAAGCGAGACCAAACGCTAAACTCCGTATAAACGCTCTACAGGCTGCAACACCAAATGTCGAACCCTATAAGACCACATAAACGCTCTATAGAAAAGCACAAAACCCTAAAGCCTAGTTCAAAAGCTGGGGCCGCAGCTGGCCGCGAGGGCAACTCGGGCGGAGAGCTTGGCAAGGACACGCTCTTCAGCCGCTCGGCGAACCTTGACAAGGTGGCGTTTTGGACCTAGGGTTCTTTGTTTAGGGCTTAGGGCCCAAGGTTCTATGAGTTTAGCGCATATGATCTAGGGTTTAGAGACGTTTACTGTCTGGGGTTTAGGATTTCGGGCGGTGGTTGCAAAGATCTACAACAGCTCTGTTAAGGTCATTCAGAGGAATTTTAAGCTTAGGGCTTCGGAATTCACGACTTGGGTTTCGGGTTTAGTGCTTCGGTTTTAGAAGGGTCTGTGGTTGAAGCAGAATGCTGGATTGACAAGCTTTGCGGCTGCAAGGACGAAGTTCAAGGTTTGGGGTTTCGGGTTTGGGCCAAAGGGTCTGTGAGGTAACCGTTAACTTCAGCTATACTGGCTATACTCCATAAGCAGACTCGGTAGATGTATCTCCCAAACAGAGGCTTCGAACCGCAGTTAGAACACTCCACGAACCGTGGAAACAGCTGCAAAACCCCGGAACCGCAAACCGTAAACCCCTAAACCCGAAGCTACAAACTCCGAAGCTTCTAAACCTTAAACCCTCAAACCCTCGAAACCCCCAAACTTTAAACCCTAGACCCCTAAACCATTCCCCTAAACCCAAACCCTGTTCCGGTAATCTGCTGGGCCCCCAACCGATCCTTTCGCGCAGTGAGCTCATCACCCTCTGAGCTATTGAGATTGTGAGTTTTACGGTTTGGGCTGTTGGGGTTTTGGATGGTTAAGGCGTAGGCCTAAGGGTCCGGGCTTCAGGGCTTTAGGGTTCTGTGGTCAGTCGGTTGAGGCTGGCATAGAGAATTTGAGGCAGTCTGAATGAACCCTAAACCATAAACCCCTAAACTGTTTCGAGCCTGAGGGTTTCGGGTGAGGCGTGGCTGTGGAAAGCGTTAGTTAGAGACCTGACGGTTTAGGGTTTAGGCTGTTGAAAGAGGGTGAATAAACTCATGGGATTACGGTAGAGGGCTTAAAGGTGTACTTGAAGGGTCATGAGGCTTAGTAAATAGGGGTATAAGTTATAAGAGTGTTATAAGTACCTGAATCGGGGTTATAAGTAACTATACCTGTAGTTACCTTGCTTACTTAAATCCCCAAATACTAAGTACTTGCTTAAATCTCCAAATACTAAGCCCCATGATCCTTTAAGTAGAAGGCTAACCAAGCCCGAAAGTTTGGGAAACCATGGAAACCCTCGGTTGCGAATCCCCAGCACACTAGGATGTGCATTAGGAATCCATTTCTTAAGTTTAGGGTTTAGGGTTTAGGGTTTAGGGTTTAGGATTTAGATTTCTTAACCACCTAAACCCTAAACTCTAACCCCTGAACCCCTCAGTTCTTGCATTGGGTCTGGATCCAAAACATCAAGGGCATGCCAACGGCCTTGCCTCGGGCCGCATGTGCTTGCCGTCCTTTCCGAAACAGATGGAAGGTCGACGGTCAAGGAGGTTTCAGGGTTTGGGGCATTTGGGTTTAGGGCATAGGGTATTAGGTTTCGGGGTTTGGAATTTAGGCTTCCGGGCTTGAAAGAAACACCTGAGGGGTTAGGGTTGTCGAATTTCTCAGGGTTCTGGTGCTGGTGCTAGTACTACTACAAGTACGAGTACTCATACTACAGTAGTACCAGTACTAGTGCTAGTGCGGGTGACAGCTTGTTGGGTTTGGCCGGGAGGGAACCCGCAAACTAAACACCCTGAAACAAGAATCCCCTTTCCAACGAAAGTCATGACTCCACCTCTTCAGAAATGCTTTCCTCTGACAGCTTGCCTGCACGTGGGGTGGCAATACCTATCCTGATACTAGAGGGAAGAGCTGAGGTTATTTCACTTGCTCTATGGCAGGTGTGAACCAATACCGTGGTTCGGGGGGCACGGACGCGTAAGAATAGTACCCCACCAATGGCCATAGACTAGACTTTCTAGGTCCCCTCCCTGATCCTTTCCCCCTCCTATGTTTCTCAGGGCTCTTAAGCTAGAGCTTAGAGTTCCGGGTGTAGAATCATACAGGAGCACCATAATATACACTCACCAACAAGGCTTCGCATCAAGAGGGCGGGATTCAAATCAACGGCCACTAAGAGCACCTAAGTCCCAAATCGTATCGCCCAAACCGCAGACCTTTAATCGTCAAGCCCGCGAAAACCAAGGACCATCATCACCACCACCGCCACCACCACCACCACCACCACCACCACCACTCCACAAGAAAGAAGCAGAAAACAAACTCATCACAAACGTGTTTCTAGCAACAGCACCCTTGACTGAGGGAAGAAGAACCCCCAACTCCTAAACAATGAATCCTATGTCCTAAACCCTATAAACGACGAAGCCTAAACCCTAAACAACGAACCCAGCAACCCTCAACCCCAAAGCATGATGGCCTTATCCCGCTGCTCGACAGTCAGGTAAGCCGACTCGCCCTGTCCGACCTCGGTGGTGAGCGCCAGCGAATTCTGGGGCCCTCATAATTTTAGTTAGGATTTAGGGTTTGGAGTTTCGGGGTGGGGTTCCGGGGTATAGACTACTATAAAAGACCACTATGTACGTAGGGACTGTACCGGTAGAATATTAGTTGGAGGTTCATGGGTAGTGATAAGTGGAGTTATAAGCCCCTTAGTATGGGTTATAACTACAGTTACCCTACTTCTGGCCAAATTATAAAAATTCCTATCTCGTACAGCGTAATTTCATATTTCAATGTGGGCAGTTATTTCCAAGTCAGTTTCACCGCACAACCTTATTTCGCCCCTCGCGTCTATTTTTCTGCCTCGCAGCGAGTCTGAGGCAGGTGTGGGGTGGAGGGAGGATGGGGGCAGTGAAGGGAACGAGAAAAAAGAATTAGTAGAGGAGACTTCGACGAGGACAGACAGTGATTCTCTGTGCTGCACCAACCACCCGCCGCAAGCCCCCTAACTGCCGCAGTTAGTGTTTTGGGGCTTTTCCAGCGCATTGATCGTAACAATTAGGAGAATGAACCAACCCATAAGTTTAGGCGGCCATAGCGAAAATGGGGTACCCTCAGATAGTACCCTAAACAGTAGGATCCTTATTACAATTTCAACAAATAAGGTACCTCCGAGAATAGGGGACCCTAATATAGTACCCTGAATTGTAGGATCCTGCTTATAAGGACCCCAAAAATCAGGTACCCCCATTTTCGGAAACTCTATAAACCCTTCTAGAGCCCTTTAAAGGAACCTTTACACTACCCTTATAGTAACCCTTTTAAGGAACCCTAATAAGGTGCCCCCTAATTTTCGGAAACTCAAAGAGCTCCTAGGCAGACGACGAGGGACCGGGGACAGGAGACGAGTGGGCTTTAGGCTTTAGGGTTTAGGGTTTAGGCTTTAGGCTTTAGGCTTTAGGCTTTAGGGTTTAGGGTTTAGGGTTTAGGGTTTAGGGTTGAGGGTTTAGGGTTGAGGGTTGAGGGTTGAGGGTTTTTTTGGTTTAGGGTTTCGGGTTTAGGCAGGCTTTCGGATTTTCAACTAAAAAAACCAAGAAGCACAAGCAACATGTCCAAGATCCAGCTCCTAGAAGCTCTTAACCCCAAGCTGAACCCTAAACCCCTCCAAAAATTAGGGTTTAGGGTTTAGGGTTCAGGGTGTAGGGTTTAGGGTCCTTCAAATTTACAGGATCGTGAATGATTGGGTGTGGTGAGTCCTGAGTGAAGAAGTATGCTTTCCAATACACAGCCCTGAAAGCACAATCCTAAGGCCTGAAGCCCTAAACTGTAAATAGTTCACGGTTGGGATAGGATTAAATATTTGTTTTTTATTCCTTTTTGGGTTTAAGTACCCATAAACATGTAAAATGTTACCCAACTGTGACAAAGGTAAAGCTTACTCTCCACGCGTCAAACGCTTGCGACGGGTGAGATGCGCTTTCTGCACATCAGGCAGGTCCCCTTAGCTCATACATCCTCAACCCTAAACCGCAAAGCCATAACACAACATCATTTTTGAAACATAAAACCTATGCCACAGACCTGAAGTCATGAGTGTGTGCCAAACCCTACAACGTCCGTCCTGAACTTAAGCCCTAAACCAAAGAGACCCGGAACCCTCGATCCATCAAGCTTCAGTCCCCAAACACACAAACCCCGAAACCCTCTAGCCCGGAACCAATGACTCAAGTCCGCATGCCAAAGCCTCGTGTTGTGTATAGATGAGCCATCAAGAACTATGGTTACCACTCGTTGAACCCTGAACCCTAAACCATTATAGTCTTCAGTTCTGAGTCACTAAACACAATAGCCCCCGAAACCGGAAACCCGAAGCGCCTCAACCCTAAACCCCAAACGCCGAAGACCCTTAAACCGTACTATAGGGACATAATATTAGTTTTTTCAAGTGTACTCGTAACAGGAACCCCAAGCAATAGTCTTGGTAACCGTAATTGCTCAATCTTCTGTAGCAAACCTGAAGGCAAGAATCCTTAAAGGAACTCTTAAAGACCCCTTAAAGGAACCCTGAAAGACCCCTTAAAGGAACCCTTGAACTCCTGAAACCCCAGGCCTTGCCCCAAGGCTAGGGCCCAGTAAGCTGCCAGCATCCAATCGGCGACAAAGAGCACCTCCACGGGATGAAGATCCCCAACACACAACAAACAGGATGCCTTAGGTACTGCCCCCATACAGTAAGAGTTTATAATAGGGGCTACTATTAAGATCCTAATATAACTATATTATGACTATTATTCAACTGTTACTCAGGGGGGCCGTACCCAAACGATGCCCTAATGCACACAAAGAAAGCCGTAACGTAAACAAACGAAATAGCCCCGCCCCCCCTCTTCACAAAGACTATATCTTTTCTCATGCACACACAGAGAGCACAGTAAGTAGCCAATGAACAAAAACAATCAAAAAGCAAATGAATATGTGTGGTGTGCATATATGTATACACATATGTACATATATATATATATATATATGCATATACTTATGTACTTCTGTATTCACTCATATATTTAATCTTCGTGTTTCATGTCTCAATTTTATAGCTGTCATTATATGAAGACTCATATTGGCCCTTCTCCCGCGCCCCCGCCCAAGCCCCCGCCCAATGGTTGGGGGACTCGAGTCTTTTCTGTAGTGTGGCATGGTGTGGTTCGGAGATTCAGTCTACTTGCGGCCTTACATACTATCATCACTGTTGATGTTCTCTCCTCCCCGCTTCTCACGCCGGAGCGGACTGACAAGAAGAACACGCGGCCCGAACAGGGTCCACAATATGACCCGCCTAACTGGACCCCATTCTCCCACTTGACAGCAGGCTACACGGATCCACACTCTGGATTCCAGAGCTCCAAGGCAAAGGGTGCATGAGTTCTACTCAACCACATGGAGAAGCTCGAGCGGAACTGTCAACCCAGAAAACTTCAACATTCCCTTCGTTTAAGGGTCAGGAATAGTCTGAATTAGGTGTGAGCTTTAAGGGGGCCCCACAGTCCCTTAACACCCATTCATACTGTTGATGGTATAAACCCTGCATTTCCCATAATTTATAGGGAATATACCATAATTCCCATAGTCTAGGGTCATTAAGGTAATGCGGGATTTATATCATCAACCGTACTCATTGAACACCATTGAAGCTTTATGGTTCTGAGGCGACTCGGCTCCAGGCCCGAAAACCAAGAAGTGGCATCGAAAACCAATGGAGCTCAATGAGGTTCAATGGGCCTCAATGGCCCTCAATATGCCTCGATAGGTTTCATGCACTCCTTGAAGGGTCCCCTTGGAAGCTCTTGAATTGGTCTAGATGTCTGGAACCACCCGAGAAAGGAAGTCACAACCCGGCAGAAGCCTCCCGAAACCGCTCCTCCGTGAGGTCGCAGCGGGTGTGTGCCTCATGTATTACATGGCTGATATTCTCGCACTACGCACAAAACTTGCAATATGTCTATCATCAAGGTGGTTTTGCTTATTCGGAAACATATTCGGGCCTTGGGTAGAAAGGCTTGGAAGAGCTGAAAAGCTAAAACTGAAACCCCAAATGTTATGAACTAATCCTAAACCCTATAAACCCTAAACCCTAAACCACCATTGCAGGCTTGCAGTTCTCAAGGCTTCGTTTGGCTGGAGCGGCTTGCGAGTTGATGCGGCTCTGGGATCTACGGTTTAGGGTTTAGGGTTTAGGGTTTTCTAGACAATGGTCTTACACGATTTTGAGGCTTAAGGGGTTTGGGCGAAAATATGCGGAAATCTTGTACAGCTGACAAGGGGGGACCTGATGCTTGCAAGGCATCTCAACATTTGGGGTTTGGTAGGACTCACACTTGGGTTTAGAATCTTACGTTCAGGGATTCGTCAAGGTGTTTACTCAGTTTACTCCATGAAAAAGCTTGCGCTCCGGTCCTATAATTACACAAAATCTTGCAAAGGCCGGCAACCCGTGAAACAAGCCAAACGGAACAAGTGCGAGCGTGCACGTGAACTCGACTGTTCGGCATAACCCTGACAACCTGGAACCCAAGCCTTCTTACGCAACAAACTCTAAAGCCTAACCCTCTCAATCAAACCCTAGCTTTAGCGGCGCAAGGTTTGAGGGTCCGACCAACACGGCGTCTCGCAATTGTTCCAAAGTCGTGTCCCGCTGCCTGCCCAGGCTCCAGAACACCCTTTTGATGAAGCTTGGCTAAGGGCTGTTGGTTTGTCGGTTTGTCATTAAGGGTTTAAAGATTGGTTTAGGGTGGTTGGGGTTCTCGGCGTTTCAAATTCTACAAAGCTGTGGTTGAAGTAGCAGCTGGCTCCATTGCGAATTCACAAGGGTCCAGGTGGTGAATCTGGCCAATACTATCACGGCCAGTGCTCCCTGACGGATGGTCAGGACACAGGGCGTTGCCAGCGAGGTCCTAAGCCCTAAACCCCAGGCCGTTAGGTTGGAGAACCGGTGCAAACGCTACTTGAAGGCTCATGGGGGACTTAGTAAGTAAGGTTATGAGTAGGTTATAGTTAGGGTAACCCCACTTAGGGGACTTATAACCCCACTTATATATAACCTTTTTACTTAGTCCCATGATCCTTGAAGTATTGCTGCTGTGAATTTCGGAGTCGAGGTTCCCATCCGGGCTATGTTTTTTGGTCGGCTCCACGCCACTCTTTGGCTGACTTGTGAGAGACAGGGTCTCGCCTTCTGGGTTCAGTCCGGGCCTTGGGTCCCCGTTACATTACCAAGGATTGCTAGGCCCCAAGCTACTGGAACGGAGGGGCATACCCAGGATTTTCATCTGCAGCGTCCCAGATCAATATCGCGCAAGCTCAGTTCTCATCTCACGCTGATGTTCAGTCGGTCGAAAGTTTGTTTTATCCCGATCAGACCCTAAACCCGAAACCTGAACCGTTATCCTATAGACTCTAAACCCTAAACCGTGTAAAGACAGCATCCGCGAGCAGAGCATGCATTAGGACCACATGCAAGCATTAATGTCGAGCTTTGGATGTGCGCCGGTTCTGTGCCGTTGCGCGGCCGATTGCTGAAGCATACCCAGACGAAGCTCGCTGCATCGTCCCTTAGCGAACCAAGGACAACAAATTTCGAGACAACTCAAAGGCAAAACGCGGCCGACTATTTGGCAAAGCTCAAGTGGGATGAGCAAGCGCAAAACAGAACCGATCCTTAAACAAACACACGCTGTTACCGCAAAGATCCCGTGCAGGACACCGTATCGCCACCTGCCTGGGCACCTGCGTGGGGACACAGCCTGCGCTCCACCCTGTCGCCACACCCCGTAGCATCACCCGCCAGCGGGCAGGATCCTATGCTGCAGCCCGCATCGCCAGCCGCATGACATTATGTGCTAATTTGTGTTTGGAAACTGTTGTAAAAAATCAGAATCAACCCTAAACCCTAAGCCCTAAACCCTTAGTCTTACGCCCTACACACCCTAAACCACTACGCTAGCGGTGGTGCTGCCATGCCAAGGGTCCGTGAAATTTGATTCTGCGGCTTTCCGGTGTAGAAAAATGTTAGGGTTTAGGGTTTAGGGTTTACAGTAAGGTTGAAAGTTGAAGATCAAACCCCGCCGCTACAGCCTAACCACTTCAACCATTGCACACCAAAAGAGCTGTACCTTGAAAGCCAAGCCGTGCAAATCGATAAAGACATGACAGCCACGAGTTGACCGCAAGCTTTGTCTCCGAGGTCACTGTCACCCTAAACTCGAGTGCTCGAACAAGTCCACACGACAAAAACTCTTAAACCGCTTAGCCCTAGATCCTCACAGCCTAGAGACGCGCAACCTCAAAACCGTGGACCCTTGCGTGTATACCCCGGGCCGAACACATCCTTACCCTTAAACCCTAAACCCTTAAACCCGTACCCCTAAATCGAATCTCAACAAGCCCCAGGTGTGAGAAAACCCGTGTAATGGAACCCTCAGTTCAAGGACCCCTTACCTTCTAAAGGGAACCCTGAGTTTGAGGCACCCCTCTTGCGCTGCCTTGAAGCAACAAGCTGCAGAACGAGATCGATGCCGGTAAAGAGCCTCATACTCTGAAGGCTTCGGGTTTAGGGATGAGGCTTTGGGTTGCAGGGTGCAGGGTCTGCCGTTAGGGTTTAGGGTTTAGGGTTTAGGGTTTAGGGTGCGGGCGACAGTATATTGCGACAAGGCGGTGTCGAGTGCAGTCTATGGCGATGAGCTGTCAAAGCCTGTCCGTGGAAGGCTTTTCCTTGTTCATCTCCCACCACGCCGCACAAGCTGACCAAACCACCCAAGCCCATTCCTTTTAGGGTTTACGCCAAGACTCATGCCACATGCCACAACGAGCTTTCCAAACACCGCCGGACGAGGCGGCGTGCCAAGAGCAGGGCAGGGCAGAGGTGGGCGGGGAGAGAGCAGAGGTTGCCTGAGGGCAGGTCTAAGGGCCCTAAACCCTACTATAGAGGCATTAATAATTAGAATAGGGTTCCTTTAAATGGGTCTATAGGGGCTACTATAAAGGGATCCATAAGGGAACTATAATATAGGGGCCTTGATAGTTAGAATAGGGTTTTGGGGCCCACTATGCTACAATCATACAAAGGAACGCCCCAATAGTATTGGTAACTATTTATGCCCCTACAGCAACCATCCTTACAGGAGCCGTTGATGGAACCCCTTAAACGAACCCTTAAAAGAGGAATCAAAAAGCTGCCAGAGACTCCAAAATCCCCTAAAATTAAGGAATATACCTTCAATTATAGTAGGATCCCTAATATGAGTTAAGGAATGTTCCTTAATTACGGGATGTTGGAGTCTCTGGGCTAACCCCCTAGTAGCCCAACCAAGCCCCTGGCTGCTGAAGCTTCGCCGCGTGACCCTCCTCCTGCAGGCAGCTTGTCACTGCGAAGGCTTCAGGGTTGGGAGTTATAGGGGCCTTATTAATTAGAAGAGGGTTCCCTCTAAAGGGCTCTATATAAGGGCAACTATAAGGGATCTATAAGGGCATTTTAATATAGAGAGTTGAAGCCCAGAACCCTAAGCCTAAACCCTAAACCCTAGACCGTTAGACCCTAAACCGAAACCCTGTTGGGGTCTGGTCATGCGAGTCTAAGGTCTTGTCTGGAGGGCCTCTACCCTTGCGAAGATTCGGAAATATTCTGAACATGAGGGGGGCAGGGGGACGTCTATGCTTTTTAGGTTTCATGTTGCTTCTCTAAACTTTGAACAGCTTAGGGAATAGGGAAACAGAACGGCGGAAAAACCCTAAAGCCTAAAACTTACTTGAGTGTTGTCGCAGTAATTAACCATCGCCGGTCATTTGCAACAACACCCGTTCCCGAACCCCCACCTGTATCCGACTGTATCCATGCGGGAAGTCCGGCACCCCAGGAACGTGCCTTGCCAAAAACGCTTCAACCCTAAACGCTGAACCCTAAACCCTAAACCCATCCTAAACCAGCTCGCAAGCCCAAAATTCTGATGGCCGTACTTTCCACATCCAGATCTCCCAGCCCCTATGGCCCCGAAACCCTGAACTCCCCTAAACCCCAAACCCTAAACTCCTAAACCTCACACCCCTAAACCCTAAACCCTAAACCCAAAACTGGAACCCACAAAAACCAGTGCAAAAATCAAGAGACAAACACACTGAAGGCCTCCAAGGACTGGCGGGCTTTTGGAGCCGTCCGCTTCGCCTCCAGACATCCCGAGAGTTTAGGGTTTGGGTTCAGGATTTCGGGCTTGACGAACATTTTACACAATTAGGAAGAAAGCTTTTAGATCTGAGGTTGCTACTGTTTTGCTGGCCAACTCCAACATCGTTACGAGTGCCCAGAGAACCCAATACTCGTGAAGTACAGAATATGTGTTAGTTGGGACCTAGTATTTTGGTTTTATATAAGTATTTCCTTGCCGAAGCGGTCTTGGGTCCTGTGGGTAGCACGATTTCGACGATGTTGCTCGAGCTAGCCGTATGCTTCTTTTGCTTGCTGCTGGCTACCACAGATTGTGATGGCTGTCTCTTGGTTGGGTTACTGATTTCAGGATTGCGTTTGTGCTTTACGGTTGGGCTCAACCTGGTTGGTTCAGTGTTTCGGGATAACCCTTTGGTCTTGCACCGGGTCGTAACACCCCCTTATCGTCGCTATACCAAGCCTCATAGCAATCCTCATCATAGCCCCTATAGACCTCGTTTATGAAGGAGCCCTGTTCTAATTGCTTAGGAAGAACAGCCGTTGTTGAATCTGTGCTCGAAGCAACTGCGCTACAGTTTTCAGGGTTGAGGGTGTAGGGGTTTAGGATTTAACAAGCTGCTCTTCCTTCGAAGATGCCGAGGATGTGACATAATGAAAAGACTACGCTTTGAGGGTTTAGGGCTTAGGGTTTGGGACTTCCAAGGCTCGCGCTAGACATGCAGGGGGGCTCTACAGCTGAAGAGAACTCTGGGGCACCATTTAGGGTTCCCTAAAGGGGTCTAAACGGGTTTCTATCGGGTTTCTATAAGGATACTATGCGGGTGGTGGTCAAAGTTATGGTACCCTTCTGGATCCCTGATATAATGCATCACCTAGTATTTAGGGTACCCAAAAAGGGACCATAATTTTGACAACCACCCACATGACCCCTGTCCTAACGACCCTACTCCGGTCGCTTGGGTTTGGGGTTCGGGGCTTTTGTGCTCCCAAACCCTAAACCCCTAAACCCCTGAACCCCTAAACCCTAAACCCCTAAGCCCCTAAACCCCTAAACCCCCAAAACCCCTAAACACCTAAACCCCTAAGCCCCTAAACCCCTAACCCCTAAACCTCAGGGTTCTGGGCTTAGGGCGTAGAGTGGAAGCCTCTTGGCTTAGCAAAGCCCTTAGCTTCTCCACAGCTTCGAGTTCAGAGACTCCAATCTCCCTTACAAAAGGAATATGCCTTAGTGTTCCTTAAGGGATCTATAAGAGATCTATAAGGGAATTGAAGAATATTCCTTAAGTCATATATTATAAGGGATGCTTCTTTCATTTAGGGTATCTTCCTTAATTGAGGAATATTGGAAGGTCTGGGAACCTCCATGGAGTCCATCTGCACCAGGCGGCGCTTGCGGCTGACCTCCACATGGACTTTCCCGAGTCCTAAACCCTCCAGCCCTAAACCACCCTAAACCCTGAACCCCAAACTTTTTAAGACCCTAAACCCTAAACCCTGAACCCCAAACTTTTTAAGACCCTAAACCCTAAACCCTGAACCCTAGGCCTCTCAATCCCTAAACCCTGAACCCCTCAGACGCCAAAGTCCTAAAACCCGACAGCCGAAGGCACGGAGACTACAGCCCCATCTTGGAACGCTTGTAAGAAACCCTCACAAAAGGGTCCCCCATTCAAGTAAGGAACACTAACTGTTGTGTGTTGTGTTGCTTTTTGCTTTTTTGAGGGTCGGCGGAGGAGGCAGGGGGTTGACGCAGTATCCGACGAATTTGGGGCACTGTTGATAGGGCAATCCCGGAACAACAAAATCGAATTCCAAAAAACCCTTAAAGGAACATGGCAACTAAGGCTACAAGCCAGTATGTCTGGCGCTTCTCGCTTCAGGGCTCACCCTAAACTGAACCCATTGGGGTCAATCGTTTGGGGTCTTACGGATTTTAGGGCTTTGGTGCGGTTGAGGATCAGAGCTCAGGGTCTCACAATCCTAGACCGAAGTTTGTGCCTTCTCGGGCGTCTCGACCTTGGGAAAAGCCGACGCCTGCAACAGCTGCTGGCAATGATTTCTCAAAGGGTCCAATTTACGCCTCGATTGAGGAGTCCTTCAGTTGCACGAGGCTTCCGATTATCATTGGAAGGAACACCCAGAGAGCCCAATACCCCTTAATTAAGGAATGTAGCTTAAATCATAATATTAAGCCCTATATGATTTAAGCCATATTCCTTAACTAAGGGGTATTGGGCTCTCTGGGCATGCCTTCGGGGACGGCATTCTATTACTGCTGGGATTCGAAAGCTTCGCAGTGGCCGGAGCCTGAGCTGAGTCGTCTCAACCCGCCCCCAGCTACAAGCCCTGAAGGTTTAGGGTTTAGGGCTTAGGGTTTAGGGTTTAGGGTTTAGGGTTTGCCGTAGAATGGCGCATAAGCGGGAGTAGCTTGCGACAGTGTAATTTCGAGTGCATCGTCCTCAAGCGATTCAACGTTTGAGCCTGATTGTGGTTGGCTCTTTTTATTCACTCTCCCACCCCACGCCGTCTAAGGCGGCCAAACCACCCAAACCTATTCCTTTTAGGGTTTAGCACCCAAACTCAGTCTACGGTTTTCTTTTTCTTCAACCTCAGGCGGGGCAAAGCAGGGGAGGGTCAGGTAGGTGAGGGGGCCAGCGGGGAAGGGGCAGCCCACAAACAAGCGGCCAAGGCAGGCCAGCGAGGGGGGCCAGGGGGGCCATGGGGGGCCAGGGGGGGCCAGGGGGGCCAGGGGGGGGGGAAAAGGCAAAAAAAACAGTTTTTGTCCAAGTCCCCCCTAGGACCGGCCTGGAGGCACCTAGGTCCTTGAACTCTGCTCGCTGCAGGCCCCAAGCCCCCCCTGGGGGGTCCCTTTTTGGAGGGGGGTCTAAATGGGAAAGCACCCCCACAAAGAAGGGGGTGGGGTTTGGGGTACTGGTCCCGAGGAGAACCTGCTCCGGTACCGGGCCTGACGTGGGTGCTACCGTCCCCATGGCTGTGGAGAGGCGGGCAGGCGTCTTGGGTCGCTCTGCGCCATCGAGGTCGAGGGGCTTAAGCGCCGCCCACCCACAGTAGGTGGGCGGCCTATGCCTTGAGTTTAGGGTTTAGGGTTTAGGGTTTAGGGTTTAGGGTTTAGGGTTTAGGGTTTAGGGAATTGCCAAGGTAAAACCGGAAGCCATGAATCTCAAAGCCATCAGAATCATCAACATGGCAGGCTAGACGGGCCCATGAATGCCCTGCAAAGGATGGAGTGGCAAAGGGGATGTAATGAAATCAGGCCCAGCTGTTTATGAACGTCACATAGGGGCCTTGATAATTAGAATAGGGTTTCGGGGCATAATATACAGTAACCAGTATAAAAAGGAGCCCCCAAAAATAGTGTTGGTAATTATGTTGGCCGTCCACACATCCCAATCCGTCCAAGGCCCTGAACTCCGTGTACCCCAACAATCCCAAAGCCTGAACATGCCCTAAACCCTAAACCCTAAGCCCTAAACCCTAAGCCCTAAACCCTAAACCCTAAACCCCTAAGCCCTAAACCCTAAACCCTAAACCCCTAAGCCCTAAACCCTACATCCTAAACCCTAAGCTCTGAGCACGAAAGCTTAAATCCTACAGCACATCCTCTGCCCTGAAGCAAGCCCCCAGCCCCGAAAGCTGCAAAGGCCGCAGTTGAAAACAACACCAAGTCCGAAACTCTACCACCACCAACCAACTCCCAGCCGCGACCCCCTAAACCCTAAAACCGAAACCCTGACCTTAAAGAAACCGCGAACCAAAGTCCGCTAAAGCCTGCGGGAATGGTGATTGGACGATGTGTCCGAGCTTTGACTGTTCGGGTATGCTGCAAATCTTCGGCTCTCCGGTGAATACAAAACAAAGAATCATGCACACTAAACCCTACCCTAGACCCTAAACCCTGAACCCTAAATCCTGAACCCTAAACCCTAAGATGTCGGTCCCAATGCGAATCAACTCCAAGGTCCGAACCCCAGAATCCAAACCCATGAACCGGAACGCCGTCCTTAAACCCCAAGCCCCGGAAACTCCAATATCCTTAAAAAAAAAACATATTCCTTAAATTGTAGTAGGATCCCTTATATGATTTAAGGAATACGTCTGGGGCCAAGCAGAGACCCGACCTTAACCCTAAGCCCGAAAGCCTGTTTCAGAAAAATGCGACTGCTACCACTCCCAAGGCGAACCTTTTTGGGTGGCGCCGTCATTGGTGCTGGCACCTGACCAAGATTGAAATAGCACCAGGGAAGCATAAATCTAAAATAAAAAACCTTAAACCCCAAACCGATCAAGCCCTGAACCACAACCCCGAACGCAGAAAACCCAAGCACACTCGGTGCATATGTGGTCTCTCAGTGCTTTTTTCTGCCGAAGGCTGGTGAGAATTTAGGGACGTCCGGGCTTGGCTTGGGACTTTCGGGATTTGGAGACTTGACGCCCCAGGGCTTAAGGGCATCGCCCAGGGCTTTTGAAGCCATTCGGCCTAAACAAAGTGAATTTAGGGTTCAAGGTTTAGTTAGGGTGGTGGAGAAGAAAAAAAGCACGGCAAGAAGTAAGCTACAGTCACAGCAAGCCTCGCACAAACCAAGCACACAAACACCCTACACCCTAAACCCTAAACAACTAAACCCTAAATCCCCTGAACCCTAAACCCCTAAACCCTAAACAACTAAACCCTAAACCCCTAAACCCTAAACTCTCTATGTTTAGCTGCCGCTGGAGAGCTTGAGGCCACGCCTTTTGCACACGGTCTTACGAAGTTGGAACTTCAGAAAACAGGAGTCATAAACCCTGACATGGAAGGGTTCTGATCTACCTAAAGGATCATGGGACTTAGTAATTGGGGTCCTTAAGGGGTCCCTTTAAGGGATCTATAGGGGTACTATAAGGGTTTAGGGTTTAGGGTCTATTTAAAGGATCATGGGACTTAGTAACTAGGGATATAATGACGGTAACTGTACTTCTAACCCCCAATTAAGGTACTTATAACCTTACTTACTAAGTCCCATGATCCTCCAAGTAAACGTAAAAACCATAACTGGAAGTATCACTACGGTTTACTGTCTAGGCTTCAGGATCACCTAACAGAGGAAACTATCGGAAGTCCTTAGCTTCCATGAACGGCGGGGGTGTTCCTTCACCTTAGAGTATCTTGGTGAGGGTTTAGGGTTTACGTTTTGGGGATTGGGGTTTAGGGTTTAGACCCTAAACCCTAAACCCTAAACCCTAAGGGTTTTAGGGTTTCTTAGGGGTGCTTGTAGTAAGGAACGTAACTTCAACAACCTCTCAGGGCCTTGTTTTCGGAAAGTCGCAACTAACCTGAACATGGCCTTGTAGCCAAAAGGCCCCAGACTGAAGCCCGAAACACACACCCTAAACCCTAAACCCTCCACCCCAAATCCTGAACCCAAAAACAAAACCCTACATCCTGAGCCCTACACCCCCAATGCCATAAACCCTGAACCCTGAACCCAAAAACAAAAAAAAAAAACTTATAATGAAGCCCAACAAGATAGGGATATCACCATAAAATGCTTATGTTTATGTGCTTTTGGGGCCCCTAAGGATCGGATCTCTGGCTTCCGCCTCCGCTGCAGGCTGCGCCTCAGCCTTGCGCTTCCCGCTGACTCTGACCTCCACACAGGGGAGCTTAGGAGGGTTTAGGGTTTAGGGCTTAGAAATTTAGGAGGGCCCTTGCAGGGTTTAGGGGTGTAGGGGCTTTAATGGTTTAGGCTTTAGGGGACCTTTACAGGGTTTAGGTTTTTGCGGCTTCGAGGTTTAGGGGGCCCTTAGAGGGCTCACAGGGTGGTACCGTGAGCTTCATGAAAGTTGTTGCAGCACATGGGGTCCTATCAGGACTTTATAAAGCTTCGACAGAGGATGCTATAGCGGGTTTCGGAAACTCGGATGTCATATTTCGAGGGATGGAGAATCAAGGTGTCCTTATGCCGAGGATCTTATTTCCTTTTGGAGGCGGTGGCGTAAAACCTTATGCTTCCGAAAGTCACAACCCTCGGAGCTTCTGGAAAAAACTGAAGGTTTGCAATTGTGCTTCTGGGGTTCAGGGTTTTTGTGGTTTGTGGCCATTTGGGGCTTGGGGCTTTTCGGGCTCCGGGTCAGGTCTTGAGAGTTTGCTTTTGATGGTAATTACTGCTGATGATATAAATCCTGCATTGCCTTAAGAACCCTAAACTATGGGGAATTCTGGTATATTCCTTATTATGGGTAATGCAGGATTTATATCATCAACCGTAACACTGAAAACGTACAAAGAAAGCCTCACTGCTGACGGAACACGACCAGCCCAAACCTGAAAGCTAGAACCCTAAAAGGGTTTAGGGTTTAGGGGTTTAGGGTCACTTTACTAGGTTGGCCCCTTAAAGCCTCTGAAAAATATTCGTAAATAGGGTCCTATTAAGCCCAGTAAGGGAAAATATAAAATGTCCCAAAGGCCTACCTAGTTTATGTAAATTGTCCTCTTCAACCCGAACAAGCAAGACTAAACCCTAAACCACCCTAAACCTTCAACCCTCAACCCTAAACCCTAAACCCTCAACCCTCAACCCTAAACCCTAAACCCTCAACCCTAAACCCTCAACCGTGGCTCAAGCCGGCCTTCGCCATGGCCCCGTCCAATGTCGAAGTCACTGCAGCAGGCTTGCAACGCTGAAGCCCAAGGACGCGCGACAGTTGGGTTTCCGGGCGGTGGCGCATCGGGTGTATAGAAATGTTATAGACCCCCTTAAAGGAACCCTTTACGGAACACCTTAAGGAACCCTTCAAGGAACCCTTTAAGGAACCCTTTAAGAAAACCCAAAGGCATATTCCTTACTCAAGGGATCTCTTAGTGGCTTAGGGTTTAGGGTCCGAGGGTCCTTACGTGATGGCGACAAGAAAGTCCTCAGCCTTCGAATTTTCGAACATGGTCACGGCTTGATCTTAAAGGGTCTCGGGCTTAGGGCCTTCGCCGATGGTGCATGAATTGCTGGGTTCTTGCTAAGGGATATAGCTTCAGTTGCCATAATAGGGATCTATAAGGGCTCCTTCAAGGGTTAAGGGTTTAAGGTTTAAGTTACCCTAAACCCTAAACCCTAAACCCTAAACCCCTAAACCCTAAACCCCAAACCCCTAGTAAACATTGGGGGGGGGGGGCAGAAGGCTTGGTGTTCCGGGACGAGGCTGCAAGGCCTATCGAGACCATGGCGGCTCCACCCTTTAGGCTTCTTGGGTGTAGGGTTTTAGGGTTTAGGGTTTTAGGGTTTAGGGTTTAGGGTTTAGGGTTTTAGGGTTTAGGGTTTAGGGTTTTAGGGTTTCGCGTTTAGGGTTTAGGGTTTAGGGTTTAGTAGCGTTGGGCTTTCATGTCAATCGTTCCCATCACACAGCCGCAATGCTACGCCCCCAAAACCTAAATCCTGCACTGTAAACTCTGATTCCCAAACCTAAACCCTAGACTCTAAACTCTGATGCCTACACCTTGATAGATGTTAAAAATCTAAAAAAATGTATATTATGATATAAGGTTGTACTATGTTCGTTGAACGCATTGTGGTGTAGCCTATAATACTCTAGTATGGTACAGTATACCATGGCAGAGTATAGCGCGCAACAAAAGAATTGGTGCTCCTTGTGTTTTCAGTTGATCAGACCACAAACCAAGGCTACTGCCTTGGAGTATCCAGGAGACCACCTGTTCTGCCTATGTGTGTACCGTCATCCACAGGGGGTTCGGTTTAGTGACAAGATGGAAGCCTTAAAAAGTAATCTAGGGCCATGGGTGGGTTTACACTGCCATGGTTTTCGAACCTCCAGGCATGATATGACTTCTTATTGAGCCCCTATGTCAATGTAAGACAATAAAGAGGCTCTTACAAAGACGGAAGTGATTGAATCTCGCCTCTGACATGTGAGATGCGTCCTTGAGGCCCATGGAAGCACGAACCTCAGAAACCAAAAGCCCCAACATTCATAAGAAACCTAAAAAGTGCGAAAAAAACCTCACCCCAAAACCCGCGCGAATTTTCTACAACTCTCTAGTTCTTCCGAAACTGTACAAACGGCACCTGTACATGGACATGCCACTGTCTGATGTCTGCGCACCCGACGGCTGCTCAGGACATCCGGCGGATCAACGTGGGAGGAGCAGCGTCCGGCATTCAGGAAAGCCCAGGGTTCAGGGTTTAGAGTTGTTTTTTTTTTTTTTTAAGTGGGTTTAGGGTTTAGGGTTTAGGGTTTAGAGTTTAGGGTTCAGGGTTTAGAGTTTAGGGCTTAGAGTTCAGAGTTTAGAGTTCATGGTCTGGGGTTTAGGGTTCAGAGTTTAGGGTTCAGGGTTTGGCGTTGTGGCAACTTGTCTCGATCCTGTTCAGCTTGCTGGCATTTCACGGTTTAGGGGCTCTTACGCGGCTTACTGGCCTGGAGGCTCATGGTGCTCTCTGGCCTTTTCGAATAGTAATCATCATACAGAAGCCCGAAAGAGCAAAGCCTGATTCTTAGACGCTAAATTCGGAAGCCCTGAAGCAAGCTTCACCGCAAACGCTAGACAACTAAACCTTGCTACACACCAAACCTCTACACCGTAGGCCTGAGCCCCTTGCAGCCCTAGTCTGGCTTCTTGAGAAAGAGCCTAGTCCGAGCTGTCTTTGTACGATATTTAGGGTTTGTGGTGTATCAGGGTTCGATAACATGCTGGTTTTCCTTCTTATACCTTCCACAATTCGAACTTTCTTGACATGAACTCGAAATGCTCCTGAGGGTTTCAAGAAACCCCACCGATTATATTCAGTAGATAAATTCCTGGGTTGCAGGCACTTCAATTGGTAATGCAGGAGCCTTGATCATAGGTGTGGTGCTTTTCGTACTGCGATTAATTACTCTGCGGAACATTAGGCAGCAATGTTGGTAATTCTTCAGGAGTCTAGAGTACAGTAAACCCCATAAAGTTGGAAACCGGATTAAGGCCAAATAGTGCTGGGATTCCCTATACATTACTCTTACGGATTGAGGCTGGTGGGTTTCCAACTTTTGGGCTTCTACTGTAAACCCCGAAGATCCTCAAGACCCTGCCTTGAACTACCATCTCCCACTTCCTTGTAGGTCCCTATTACGAACCCTAATATGGAGTTTGTATAGGATTCAGGGCCAAAAACCCTAAACCCTAAACCCTAACCCCTAAACCCTACACTAAACCCTAAACCCCAAACCCTAAAGCCTAAACCCTAAAGGCCACAGGTTTGGAGTCAAGGCTTCTGGCTGTGGGGTCCTGGCATCCAGGTCTGGGGCTTAGGGCCCTCAACCTTAGGGTTGAAGAATATGGGAGCTTCCGAGAAATAGAGGTACCTTACTTGGGGGTCCTTACAATAAGGATCCTACTATTTAGGGTACTGTATTTGGCCATTTTCGGAAAGCCCCATATAAGACAATACAGAACCACAGAAAATCATTTGATACAAAGGGTAGCCTCGAGACTCTAAACCCCCAGCCCGAATCTCCAGAAATCCCATCAGGCCTCCTCCCTTCGCAGGGTTTGAGATTAGCTTGAAGGTTTGAGGCTTGGGTGGCTACCGTGGGATCTGTTTTCGGGTGTGGAGATTAAGGCTTGTTCGTCTGCCCTGAGACACAAGGCCGCGCCATCGCCGCACGGCTCCCCCATGAAAGCACACAATTCCTGTACATCTTTGGCGAAGCCCTCGCAGCCAAAGAGTTCAAACCAAGAACAGTGTGAGCCCTCGGACGCCAAAAACCTCGAAATAGTAGTGCTGGTATTTGGAGTCCTGGTGGCACTTGCGGCTGTAGTGACTGTAGTGGTGGCGGTGATAAGCACGACAACCTTCTTGCCATTGCTGCTTCTGCTACTACAATACTAGTCAGAGAAAAAGAGGAGCTTGCATCTTTGCTTGTTTCTCATTTCATTAAGCTCGAGTGTTCATCAAACACATCCTTTCACTTTCACAGAGGTGTGACAAAAAACACAGGTATCCGCCCAAAGCCCTACAAAAAAAACTAATTGTACATGTATAAACATGTGTATGCATATGTGTTTATATATGTATGTGCATATATGCATATATATATGTATATATATATATATATATATACATATATATATACATATCTATATATATATATAATTAATATATGTGTCTGTGTAATCATTTATGTAGTAGGTACATGTATATGTTCGGTTCAAGCATCCTCGGTCCTCACACTGACACGTCACTCCCTAGAGCAGTCGCAGTGCACGGAGCTCGGCCGAGACGGCGTCGAGGTCGCCAAGGCGCGGCATCTTGGGCATCACCTCGGGTCTAGGGTTCAGGCTTTAGGGTCTGAGTCTAAACCCTAAAACCCTAAACCCTTAAACCCTAAACCCTAAACCCTAAACCCTAAACCCTAGTCTGGGGTCATGGTTGAGCCGGTTTCTCGGCTTTAAATTTTGGACAGGGTTTCGGGCTTAACTAACCAGTGCTTTTGGGGTTCCATTGGCTCTTTAGCTCCTTATTTAGTAGGGATTATAATCATCCCTGGCTCCTTAGCTCCCCCAATACCAATGGTTAGTTAAGGTTTGGGGTTTAAGGTTGGGCTTCAGCTCAGCGCAGGGTTGCTGAGCCGTCAGAGCTTGGAGTTCGCTCTCGGGGGGAGGGGGGCAGAAGGCATTGTGAGGCTAAGGCTGTATGATCTACTATAGGGGCCTTTGTAATTAGACTCCTATATCATAGTACCCTTATGGCAACCCTTATAGCAACTGTTTTGGAGCGCTTGAAAGGGGCCCTAGGCCGCTATAGGACACACTGCCGCAGAATCGCTAGCAGCAGGAGCCACTGCACTGATCCAGTTTCGAGCATGAACGAGGAGGCAGTGGCAGGGAATATGGTCGTTTCCGAAAATAAGGGACCTTAGAATAGTACCCTACATAGTAGGATGATCCTTATTGTAAGGATCCCAAATTGAGGTACTCCGAACTTTCGGAAGCTACCACATTGCTACATGATGATCACCTGATAAAGGCGTAGTCACTCATGGCAATCGGGCCAGTGGGGAGATGGAGATGTGAGAAGGAGGTTTTAGGGTTTCTATGGCCCGTTCAGAGTTTCGGGTTTAGGGGTTAGGGTTTGGGGTTAAGGGTTTCTATGGGGCTTTCATGGCATTGACCCAGAGACTGCAATATCTCTTAATTTAGGAATATTCCTTAAATCATATTCGGGTTCCTACTGTAATTTAAGGTATAGTCCTTAAACAAGGGGATATGGGAGTCTCTGGGTACATGGCCTTTCAGGGTTTGGTTTGGGGTCCTTGCAAGCAGGACCCCAGTACTTGGAAAGCCTTCCTTGACAAAGGGCTCCGAGTAAATAGGGTTTGGCGTGGTGGGGCTTCGAGTTCCGACTGTTCGGCTTCGGGCTTCGTATTCTAGGATACCCAGTAACCTAAGAATAAAAAGGCCTCTCTTTTTCTTATTGGGTAACTTTATAAGGAACCTAGGACTACAAAAAGGGAATAAGGGTACTACTGGTTGTGGAAGATAAGCTCCTCCGTGCCAAATCCCTTATTATGACCCCCGCTTGGATGGGTCATATGGGTACTCTAAACTAGGCACCCTTATAAAGAGGGACCTCAAGCGGGACCCTGTTTTGGAG